ATCTTAAATTTGGTCTTTTCAGGTTATCCCATATTTCTTGGAAGTTCTGTTTATGGTCTCCTAACACCTTTTCTCAATGGTCAACTTTGTTTTTAAGATTATATATTTTGTCTTTATTGCCTGTCTTCCAAGTGATCTAGTCTATTAGAGATGCTTTCACTTGAATTTTTAACTTGGTTTATTGATTCCTTTATTTTGAGAATTTCTGCTTTTTTTTCTTTCCCCCCCAGAATCTCTATTATTGAAGGGATCTTTCACTTCTGTTTTCTTCCTGATTACACTCCTTACTTCATCCTGTACCTCACAGACCAGTTTTAACCATGTACATTCTAAACCCCTTCTCTGCCATTTCTTCCACTGTGATATTGATGAATTCTGTTATTGGAGTATCTTGGTTTGTTTGTGGAGATTTGTTCCCTTGCTTTTTCATGTTGTTTGTGTGTCTACCCATGTGACAGTATGGATCTGAGGCAGTAGATTCTACCCTCTGGACTTACGGTGTCCTTGAAGGTTTCTATTACCTCACTGATTTGGCAGAGACAAGTCATAACTACAAGCAGTGCAGACAATTAGAGCACTAAATCAAATAGTTCCTGCCATGATGCCTACAATTGTCACAATAAGCAGAAATGATGTGACCAGATATCGCCTATGATAAAAATCGCCAGTTTGCAAAAGGGTCTACAGTTTTTAATGGTGGAGAGGGAGAGAACAGGTGTGATTATGATTGATTATGAGGGAGGAAGAGAGACGATAGAAGTAAAAAATTAAAGGAAGAGAGAAAGAGAGAATAATAGAGATTGGCTGTTAGAAGAGGAAAAGAGAAGAAGAACCAAGGGAAACAGACAAGTGAGAGAAAAATATATATAAAGTAAAAGTTTTAAAAATTAAAAGTGACCATAAAAGAAAATGAATAAAAAAGAAGACTAAAATATACCAATCAAGCGTCCTAGTTCTCAACCTACTCATCTGTGAAGAACAACTGGCTTCAGAAATGCTAGAAGTGAAAAAACAACAAATGTCCACATGTGTAAATGTCCATGAACCATTAGGTCACAATTAAACAGGGGAAAAAACAAAAATAACTTGATGAAATGTTAAAGAATTGTTTCTGTTGGAGTTCAAAGGATTCTCAGCCTCCCTTCTCAGCAGTTAAGTGGAGTGTGGTGCTTCCCCACCCTCAAGGTGGGGTTGCTGGAGTGAGAGGTGATCCCACAGGTAGGCTCCAGGCTTTGCACTCGATGCCAGTTGGTCTGGAGATTCTAAATCAGTGCACCTCCAGAGCCCAGCAGTAGCTGGTCCACACTGGAAGGCTGCACCCCTGGTCTCCCATGGGTCCAGTCGTGTGGTGGAAGAGCAATACTTAGTCCCTTGTGATACCCAAGAACCCCATGTTTCCTGGTCTCAGGTTCAGTCTCAAAACTGAGTCTCTCCCCCCCTGCCCTTTTGAATCCCTGGCCAGCCATGGTTCTCCCAGCCAGTCCTGCCAGTGGCTGGATTGGAGCGGGGCGGGGGGGGGGGGGCGAGGTTCCAGTGGGTTTCCACGAGCAGAGTCCCCTGTGTACACCTCTCTCCACATTTGGCTTTCCCTGGCACACTCTGTGTTGTGCAGTGTGGGTTTGCAGGCCTGTATTTGGGCCAGACCCGGGTTTGCCAGGAGTCAGCTCCCCCAGTCTCTGGCCCCCGCATCGCGGCTGCAGAATGGTTCCTTCCTCTGCCCTGTGTGGGGAGAGATTCCTCTTCTTTCCTGTGCAAGGCATTGTGCAGTCCTCCTTTCGGTTCAGTCGGGCCTTGTCTTTGATCCCTGAACTCTCACAGCCAGACACACCTCAGGCCTTGTCCCTCCACTTGGCTCCTGGAGGGACTGCTCTGGCTGGTGGCTCTGGCTGTGGCAGTGGCTGTGGCTCTCGGGATTTCTTCCTTATTTTATCATATCCAGCCTCCCGAGTCCCTGATCTGCTTTGAATGCCCAATATCAAATCCCAGTAGGACCCCCACCCTTTTCTGTTGTTCGCCCACCTTGCCGAGAAGCTGCTTATCTGCTTCTTGGTTTCACCGCTTGAAGCAGCCAGGAAAGTGCTCTTCTCTGTCTTGGAACTCTGACCCTTCATTCTTTGTGCTAATTAGTCTGTGTCCTTAGAACTTGGAGTGGGCTTCATACACTTGGGCTCTGGACTGATCACTCCTCGTAGCTCCTCAAAACAAAACAGAATAACAGTGACTTCAGTGGACTGGACCCCGCCACCTATGGACAGCCAGTTTCCCAGACACGCGGAGGCAGAGTCCATGGGCCGCACTTGGCCCACTCACTCCTCAGGCTTGGGGGCCGGACACAGCTCCTGCGATGGCGTTAGGCATTCTTCTCCACGGGTGTCTTTGCCACAGGTCAGGCCGCAGCTGCAACAGCTGTCCAGAAGGTGTTCCCTGGGCAGGTGGCACTGTTTGGCAGGTGTGAAAGGTTTTTCTGGCTTAGGAGTGTCCTGCCCCCCAGGTGCTCATGAAACTCCTCAGGCACAGCTTCTGTGGTTCCCACAAGGGACAGGCCCAGTTCCAAGTGTCACCTTGCTCAGGGAAGCTGAGAGTGGGCCCTCATCAGGCATCGTGGTTCACTGACAAGGCCGCCCATCAGAGGAATGTACCAGTGACATCATTCTCCCACGCCTCCATTGTCCGGGAGTGTTTGATGGTCTTGCCCTGTGTGGTTTCCAGGTGACCGCAGCTCAGGCGCACGGGCTGTTGACGTGGCATGATTCTGATTATTAGAATTACTTTCGATATTTTCAATATGACAGTGTGATATGGGAGGGGGAGAGTTGACCTGAGAGAGTCACGGGAAGGCAAACCGTTTGGAGAAGTTTTATGTGACGTGAGGGTCCCCCCAGGGAAGGAGACAAAGAAGCAGAGCCAATCGCATCACCCTGGATGACGAGTGGCGCGTTGAGGAAAAGCAGCTGGGCAGGGTGGGGTGGCTGAGGGGAAGCAGCTCACCATCAGCAAGGCCTGTTTGTCAGAACGCTCATCTCGGTGTCCATCCTGGATGGGGTGACCTTTCTCCTCAGGTCCAGGAAGGGCGTCTCCCAGGTGCAAATCTTACCTGCTTTTAAGGTGTGGCAAGGTCAGAGGGCTCCTCTACCCACTGTCATTTATTGAATTTTATGTTTCTAAAGTGCTTTTGACTAAATAACACAACAGAGCAGGGTGTTTTGGGTGGCGTCTTCTGCCAGTAGCCAGGGAGGTAGAGTCGACAGATCAGTGAGCCGACACAAGCTCATCTATTTCCAGGGTCTCTCTGTGTCTGTCTCCCTCCCTGACGGTTACAGGAGCGTGCTGGGGTGTTAACAGGTGAAATGACAAATCTGAGATTTGCTTTAAAATGCTCAGTGCAGGGAGTAGATGAAACAAGTCGGTGCACATGGGCAGTGTTGGAATTTGGGTAACGTGGGAATCGTCCTGTTCCCCCCACTTCTAGGTGCTTGGAAATTTTTCTAATAGCTGTCTTCAAAACCTTCTGTTTTTTACAACTACATGCCATCTTCTCTTATCAAATTATGAAAGATTTCTAACGTTGCATTGGCTGGGATGTGGGAAGGACCCCAATGTGTTGTCAGGAGCTATCTGGGGAGCAGTTTGGGACATGTTCCGAGGGACTTGGAGACACTGCTTCATTTGACCTTAAGATTCTTTCTGTAGGAATCTGTACCAAGGCTGTCGCTGTGCATATCAAAAGCTCTGTACAAAGTTGTCTGTTTCAGGGTTATTTTAGATTTTGCAATTTGCAAGAAACCTGAATGTACAGTAGAGAGAGGCTCGTCGAATGGCATCCATCACAGGGTGAAATGTTCTTATTCCATTATCAAGGAAGGTTGCAATTTTTAGAAACCACAGGAAGGTGTGGGTTACAATGTTAACTGGAAAAAAGTGGATAAAATTGTAAATAGTCTACATTTGTAGAAAAGATATTCAGAGGAAGAAAAATTGGAAGAAAATGTAGCAAAATGCCATCAGTGATTCTGATTGCATGGTGGACGCACACTGAATAAAATCTTTTTCTGTTCGTCCTTATTTTCCAGATTTTCTTTTGTGTATTGGGGATGGAACCCAGAGATGCTTTACCATTGAGCTACATCCCCAGTCCTTTTTATTTTTAAATTTTGAGACAGCGTTTTGCTAAGGTACAAGTTGTTAGGCCCTCAAACTTGCCATCCTCCTGCCTCGACGTCCCAAGACACTGGGATCACAGGTGTGCGCCACTGTGCCTGGCTGTTTTCCAGATTTTTAAATCATGAGTATGAGTCGACTTTCCTGTGGATCTTCTTCCAGCTGCCACGAGGCGTAATCCGCCCCCCACAGAGCTCACCGTTCGTGGCCTAGGGAAGTTCCTCGTCAGTACCTCTCAAGTAGACTGTAGTTTTAGATTTACAGAAAAATTGAGATGTATGTCCTGCACCTAGGTTCCCCTGTTAGTAACGTCTTATATTTCTTACAGTTATTACATCTATTCATTTATGTACATTGTTACGGTTAGTGAACCAAATATTGATATGCTGTTAACTAAAGCCCATGCTTTGTTCAGATTTCCTTAATTTTTAATCTGATGCTCTTCTTCTGCTCCAGGATCCCTTCCAGGATATAGCATTCCATTTAGTTGTCCATAAGTTAATTTTTAATTGGGAAAAAAGTAAAATAAAATACATTCAGTATGTCAGCTGTGCCTCCTCCCCTTGGTCTCCTCCTTGTTGGCGGGCTCCTTGTTGACAGAGACCCTGTTGAGATGGCTCCCATCCCAATTGTTCCTAGCATGGCACCTGACAAATCTGCTAAATAGGGTCTGCTCACTCCATGACCGGCCCTCAGGAGCTGGACAGAGCAGAGCCAAGGGGGAGGGAAAAGGGAGAAGGAAGAGAAGCCGTGGCCACCAGGAGTCAAGCCTCAGTGCCCTGTGGGCCGTGGCCGCTGCTGTGGTTGGTGTGACGGGCTCTCTTGACTTCTGTGCCTCCCAGGCTGGAGATCGCAACCCTGAACCAGGCAGATGCAGATCTGGAGGCCTGTCGCACCCAAATCAGCAAGGACATCATTGCCCTTCTGCTGAGGAGTCTGACCAGTGGCGGCCACCTTTCCCCCCAGGCGGAGAGAAGGATGGTTCTTGTTTTCAGAAAGCAGTTTCTACTCCTGGAAAAGGAAGTACAAGAGGAGTATGACCGGAAGATGTTGGCCTTGACAGCTGAGTGTGACCTGGAAACTAAAAAGAAGACAGAAAACCAGTATCAGAGGGAGATGTTGGAGACGGAGGAAGTAGAGGAGTTGCTGAAGCGTGTGAGCGAGCGGGTAAGCCGGGTCCCGGAGGTCTGCACCTCACTGCTCCTACGCCTTCATACCTGCCCGTCCCCCACCAGCCCACTCACGTGTCCATCCACCCTCCGTCCACCCACTAATACACCCATCAGTACACCCATCTGTCCATCCCTCCCCATCCACCATCCATCTACCCCATCCATCCATGCCTCCATCCACCCATTCACCCATCCACGTATCACCCAGCTTCCAACCATGACTGCATCCATCCATCCATCCATCCATCCATCCATCCAATCTATCCATCCACTCACCTACCTATGTACCCATCTATCCACCCACACTTCTATCCATCCACCTGCCCATCCACCTACCTATCTAAACATCTACCGACCCATCCATGTTTCCTTCCTTCCTTCCATCCATCCATCCATCCATCCATTCACTCACCTACCTATGTACCCATCCATCCACCCATACTTCTATCCATCCACCTGCCCATCCACCTACCTATCTAAACATCTACTGACCTATCCATCCATCCATCCATCCATCCATCTGCCCATCCGCCCATGGTCCATCCACTCATCTAGAATTCATTTGGAAGCATTTATTGACCACTTACTGTCTCTCAGGCACAAGGCTAGGCACTGATGTTACAAAGAAAAGTGAGACATGGTTCTTGCATTAAGTTCACAGGGTAATGAGGAATCCTCACATATGAAAAGATAAGACACCATTCTGCCATGTTATCATAAAGATACGTTTCTGGTGCCGTGGGAGGTCATGGAGAGGTAGAGGGCTTCATCTGAAGAGAGCATGGTTCACAGATGGGTGTGATGTCATTCAGCCACCTCTAGCCTGCCTGCAGACCGTGCTCTGTCCATGACCTCGCTGGTCAGCACCATGTCCCCCTGGGCCCTGGCACTTAGAAAGAATGCCTTGAGTGTGCCGTTCTGGGATTTGGGCCCCTGAACTCTCTCGTTGCCCCTCCCTCTCTGCTAATGTGTTTGGCTATTTTTCTGTGAGAATCACACCTGCTCCAGGAGGGGCTTGAAGAGTGCTTCAGGGCACCAGCTGGCAAGCAGGCCTGACCGCCCGCAGGCCTGACTCTGCTTGGCCCAGGATGGGCCCAGAATGAGGGAGCTCAGAAGGGGTCAGTCTGCATTTAAAAGAGTCATAGAAAAAACAGATGGCCAAGCGCCCCAGGCTGGTGTGGCTGTGAAATCTGAGATGCTGATGTGGCCCTTTATGGCACTTTGCCCATTTCACCTTAAAGCCCAAAAGAAAGGACTTGGGGGAAAAGGTGAAACCCACACCAGGCTCGGCCAGTGCCTGGGCCGCTGACTGAGCTCCTGCTGTATGCATTCGTGGAGGCCACTGACTGGGCTCCCCCCGGGCACTGTGCCAGCTCAGCCCGTCCTGCCCCACATGCCCGTGTGTTCGCCTTTGGCTGTGTGGGTGGGTGGGGGTATGCAGTTCATCTGGTTGCACGTCGTGCTTGCTTTCGCTTCATCTCACCACATAAACCAAATGTTAATTTATTAAGTGCTATTAAATAGGCTGCAAATCGAAGCTCACGCTTGTGGTCGAGGGGCTGGCGCTGCTAGAGGGCCCCGCGTCCCCCCCCCCCGCCCCGTTACCCCAGCTCACTGGCTCATGGGCTAGGAGTGGGAGGGTCCCGCACTGGCAGGGAGGAAGTGGGACGTGGAGACACCACCCGAGGACCTGCAGGCGGCCCGTGACTCACGCAGCGTGCTGCCAGCCAGGACGCCACATTGCTGCAGTGGCACGCGGCTCCCCTGCTGTGCCGGCCACAGGCATCCGCCCTCTTGGGCGTCCCTGGCTCTCCAGGGCTTGGCTAGTGGCTGCCTGGGCTGCTGCGTCTGCATGTGGGGGTGGGAAGGCGGCTGCTGGGCTGCTGGGCTGGCCTCTGCCTCAGGCCCACTGGCCCTCCCCGGGCTGCCTGAAGCTCCCATCTGCAGGGCTGGGCAGCAGCCTCCCGCGCCCTCGCCCCACCTGCTGGCACGCCGGGGAGGACACCCTGAGTCTCGCAGGTCCCCTGTTCTGTGGGCTTCCAGAAACACCGTCTGTGCTGCTGCGAAAGGGCCTAGAGCGCGTTCTCCTGGTGCTCGCAGGGCTCCCCGCCCAGGAACCAAGGCTCCCTATAGCAAGCTGCGTGTCCTGCGGGCATCTGAAGATGAAACAAAGGAGAGTATTGGGGGTCATCGTTCCACCCAGGATAGTTTAAGGGGGGAAGGGGAGCAAAGTGGACGGTGTCAGTTTTTTAAAGTCAGGAACTCTAGTGAGGACAGAGGAAGACCTGCTCACCTTCCCAAGCCTGTGCAATTCCTATGGCTTCAAAGCACGGCTCCACAGAGCACCCAGGGGCAGGTCCCCCGGTCTCCTTCCCCTCCCGGACATGGCATGATAAGGATGCCTGCCGCGTCCCGAGACGTCAGTCAACACTTGCAAAGAGCTTCAGGGCGGATGGGAAGAGGCGGGCCATGGGGCCGAGTGGCCTGGGAGCAGAGCCAGGTGCTGCTGCCCACAGGTGGCTGTAGGTGACCACGAGGTCCTGTGTGACTCCCAAGCTGGAAGCAGCATCTGCCTGTCTTCAGATAGAGAAACCGTGTTCAATGTGCGTTCACATCACAGTGTGTGTGTGTCTGTGTCCCGATGTCACGTGGTCCCCAGTACCATGCGTAAGGGCCATGTTCTGAGTCAGTTAAATCAATTTAAATGTCAGAAAAGGGAAGAAAGAGGACCCCAGTGCTTGGCACAGCACCCCGGTGGGGATGTGCATTGTGGCTCATGGCTCAATGTCATCTTCCCGGAAGCCCCAGAAGGGAGCAGAGTGGGAACTGTCTGCACAAGGAGTGGGGAAACCGAGGCCCAGAGAGGCAGCGCCTCACAGCCCGGCCTCCTGCAGCCACGCGGGCAGCGGGGGCTGCGTCTCCTCCGGTCTCTCCTGCACTCAGGCGTGCCCAGCCATCCGAGGACAGGAGTCGGGCCTGCGTCCTGCGCTGGCTCCCCGAGGCCTCCTCAGCCCCCGGGAAGATCTCGGAGGAAAGACTCCTCATGTGCAAGAACGCGTACATCTTAACCATCTCGGGTGGATTTATTTTTATGAAACAATTTTACAGTTTGCCTGTCTTGCTAAATTGAGTACAAGGAGCGTAATTTGGTAGTCATGATTTCCTGAGGACGATTCTACATTTTTTCATGGTATAAACTCGACATTATACGAGGCGGTTGCTCTGGGACAGCCCACTGCACGACTGTTTCTCAAATCAGAACTGAAGTGGCCTCTCCTGACCATGCCTCCTCTCCATGAAAAGTCCATTTTTTAATTAGAAAGTTCAATAGGGAGATTAGGGTAAATGACCACTACTTTAATGCTCCTTTAAAAATGCACATCTGTGGACAATATTTAAAATATAAAACTGTACATTAAAAATACAGATTTTCAGCTTCTCTTAAAGAATGAGAAAATCTGACCACATTGGTCCTGATGTTCACAGAGCCCCTTGGTGAGCTGGCTGTCCCTGCTCCTACAGGAGGACTCGCCCTTTCTGTTTTGCCCCACTCCCCACCACTCCCTAGTGCCTTCCAGGACAGGTTTCCTCACCCATTTGCATATACAACCCCCTGCTTGACTGGCCTGGGGGTGGGCATCTTGCTTCATGGCCGAGTCTTCTCATTTTTGCTGCAGGATGTTGAGCTTCGTTAGTTGTGGGACACATTTCCACAAGGCCTTGAACTCCCAATAGAGGGGCGGTGCCTGTGGAGGTAGGTGTGGGGTTCTGTCCATGTTTTTGTCAAGGAGTGTTCACTATGGCATGAGGGTGCAGAAATATAATGCTAAACAGGACGGAAATTTGTGTTCTAAGATGTGTGTGTGTTTGTGTGTGTCTGTGTGTCTGTCTGTCTGCTTCTTGCCCCAGCTGCGAGAAACCAAGTGGGTTTTACTCCATACTTCATTCTTGTTAATTAAAGTAAATTGAAGTTTGGGGCTTGTAAAATTCAGTTCTGTCCCCCAACCGTGTGGCTGAGAAGTCGGAGACTGGCGTCCGCAGCCCCCACCTCCTGAACCTGCCCCAGCTACTCGCCCTAGCAGAATGCCCAGAGTCGGGCCCTGACCCTCTCTCCGCTGTTGGTGAATTGCATCCTTTGATTTAGATCCAGTCACCTGTAAATGCCATTGCTCTGCAATAGAAGGACTCGGATGAGTCCAGTCCTTTCTATAAAGCCTGCTTTTTAGAAAGGTGGAGCTGTGATTTGGTGGCTGAAGCAAAGCGCTCCTGTCGGGATGGATGCCGGATGCGGGGGCAGCAGGAGGTGGGCTGCTCTCTGGTCTCCTCGAGGCTTTGCTCTGGTCTCACCGGCCCCAGGGCTGCCGCGCGCTGACTGCTGGGCTTCTTTGAGGGGCCCTGGGTAAATGCTTCCCTTCCTCCTGGATCCTGAACCAGCTGAAGATCAGTGAAAGGGGCTGGAGAGACCGAGCCAGGTACGAGGCCTGGTGAGTGAGTGGACACAGAAGTGACCGATCTGCCACCAGGGGGCTGTGTTCCTGGGACAGAGAACCTGAGGCCCCGGGAGCTTCCAAGCCTCACTCCACCTGGAGGAGCCCAGCCCTGGCCTCTGCTGCACAGCCCCTCCTGCCTTCCCAGCCTCTGCTGGCCAGGGCACAGCTCCTCCCCGTGACCAGGCCCCACACCTGCCTCACGCACGTGCACCTGTCCCTGCCTTCGCTCCCCCACGTGTGGCTGAGAAGTCGAGCCTGGAGCCCAGCGTCCTCCTGAGCAGGGAGGGCTGTGGGAGGGGCCCTGAGCTTCTCTGCGCTCCTGGACCTCTGTGGGGTGCAGGCTGTTTGTTTTCCATGGCTGCAACAGAACACGCCCTGAGCAACCTCAGCAGCGCTCCCTGGGACCTCGGGGTCTCTGTGCCCAGGAGCCTGGTGTGGCTCCGCTGACCCCTCTGCTGGGCTCCAGTCTCTTGTGGAACTCAGGGTCCTGGTCTGTGCTCATTCATGCTGTTGGCAGATTCACTTCCTTGCTTCTGGAAGCTTCCTTTTGCCATGGAGAGTTCATAGCACAGCTGTTGGCTTCTTCCAGGCTAGTGGGAGAGGGTCTCTCTCTTCGGGGGGGCCAGTCCCTCTTTCATGGACCTCACCTGATGAAGTCAGGCCCACCCAGGATGGTTTCCCCTGATTAACCCAAAGTCAACTGTCTAGGGACCTAATTGTATTGTCAGGACACCTTCATCTTTGCCATGTCATGTAACCTCATCACAAGAGTGACCATCCCATCATGTTCAAATTTATACTCTCATTCAAGGGATGGGAGTTTATATGACATTTACAGAAGGGGGGGTCCTGGGGTCCTGTTAGGATCCTGACCACGCATGTGGAGTTAGGGCAGCTCCCTCCTCGGGCTCAAGTCTTGTTGAGATGCTGGGGAACAGCTGCGTTAGGGCTCAGCAGAGGTGCGTTTCCACCTTTCCTCACATGGGACTCCCAACATGCAGGTGGGCCAGCAGCCACTTCTTGGTACCTCCTCTGCCTCCTTTACCCGAAGGATTCCAGCTGAGGCCTGGTCGCTGGCATTTCTCTCTTCAATTAAGCTGAGAATGAAAGATGAGGCGATGATCTCGTGAGCCGAGCTGTGCGGCCCTTGAGACTCCCAGGTCTCCGTGTTCACAGGCTCTGTTCAAGCAGTTTGATGTGCAGATTTCCACCCTGTGAATTTTTTGCTTTGAGACTGTTCTGGAAAATTGTTCAGATAACAGGGTGGGGACAGGTTGGAAGGGCATCTCCCAGCCCCATCATGGCAGCTTGGGTCAGGGCGTGTGTGCCTGCCCGTGCACACACGTGAGTTCCATGTGTGTTCTGGTTTGTGCCTGTGTGCACCTCTGGGTGTGTGTACTGTGTGACTGTCACACACAAGGCGCGTGGGCAGATTGTATCTGTGGTTGTGAACATGTATGTGTGTGTACTTCTGAGCACCGTGTGCACACTCATGGCATGCACACACAGCACTGCTGAGTGCACCTTGTGTATTAAATGTGCATGTGTGTGTGTATGTGTCCACGTGCGTGACCATGTGTCCACGTGGGCCAGTTGTGCTTGGAGCGCCAGGCTCACTGCTGCCCCTTCTCTCTGCAGTCTGCTGCCGAGTGCCGGGGCCTGCTGCGGACCCTCCACGGCCTGGAGCAGGAGCACGTGAGGAGCGCCCTGGCTTTGCACCAGGAGGAGGACTTCGCGCAGGCCCACAGGCAGCTGGCCATTTTCCAGAGAAACGAGTTGCACAGTATCTTTTTTGCCCAGATAAAAAGTGCTATTTTGAAAGGGGACCTGAAGCCAGAGGCCGCTAAAATGCTGCTTCAAGATTATTCTAAACTGCAGGTAAGGCTTCCGCTCGGCTCCCTGTGACCGAGGCGTCATTTTCCAACTCCTCCGTAAACCGCTCCTCTCCTGGAGTTAAGCCCCACCTCTGGTTCGTGCTCTGTCCTGTGACCCCATCCTCTTCTCAGCCCCTGCTTCGGGGGCGATTGTCCCGTGTGCAGGGGGATGGTGGCTTGGGGCGCAGGCCGTGGACCGGGTTGACCTAGACTGGATTCCAGTGCCACCCCCATCAGCTGAGTGAGCTTGAGCCGGCTGCCCCCGGCCCAGTGTCCTCTCCTGTGAGGTGGGAATAACAGAGGCCCACTCTCACAGGGCGGAGGAGGAGGTCACGAGCTGATCCTTGAAGGCAGTGCTTTGCCTGGCTGGTGTGACGTGCAGCGCTGTGACAGAGTGGACGTGCACATGGTGTGTCGGCGTCGCTCATGTCCCTGTGCCAGTCCGGGCTTTCGGGTCAGTGTCTGGCTGTGCTTGGGTGTGCGTGTCTTCTGGTGTGTAAGCATGCGTGTGGATATTATTAATCCAGACCCGATTCTTAGATGGCGGGCCAGTCGTTTCCCCAGCCTGCCGGCCTTGCCGTGGACGGTCCCATGAGGCCTCATGAGGCTCTCCGCAGGCACACGCATGCGCAGGGCGCAGTCACTGGGGCGCAAGGACGGCCTTCATCGCTCTGCTCCCAGGTTTTCCCGGGTGTTGGCGACTTGCTCCAGGTGGTGGTGATGGTGGTTAAGAGCAAACTCCTATCTTAATTTGCGAAATCTTGTGGATTGACTAGGACTAGAATATTTGAGAAACATGGCCTTAGAGAGGCCGCCTCTTCCAGTTTATGAGCCAGTCTGTGTGTATACAGCAGCAGCTCTGAATGGTGCCGGAGATTGGGGCACTGTTGGGCCTGCTCAAGTCTGCAGGGGCTGATGGTGTCACAGTGCCTTGGTCCATGACGGTGTTCGTTTGAAGAATGCAAAGCTGTGGTTCTGATGGAGCAGTCATTCTGCTATTTCAGTTTTAGCTTCCCAAGTGAAGATCGTCCCAGAATGTCGGCTTGCTGGCTGGATTTCCCCCCTTGAAATTCTCTACTTGCTGCAGAAGTGCAGGTTCTGCCCACACTGGAACATGCCGTGGGACACCTCAGCAGGCCCGGGGCATAGGGAGGGGACATGGAGGTGTGCCGTTGGCCTCTGTTATGGCTGTTGCCAAAGCAGTGGTGAAAAATAGAGCCACTGGACAAGGTGTGGACATGGAAGCCACACCTGTGCCTGTGAGCAGGTCCCAGCGATGGGGCCACAGGACTTGGCGTTCCCCTGACCACCCACAGGGACAGACCGGCACGCCCATGCCTGGGCGTTGTGTGGTCCTGGTACAGGCACAGTGAGTAGGGCTGAGCTGACCCTGGGCACCCAGGAAGACAGCAGGTCACCATCCAGAGCATGTGGGGAAGGGAGGGCCACCCTGAGGAGACCCCGGAATGGAAAGGGAAGACACTGCCTCTGCATTTGATCTAAGGGCTCATAAACCTTTGGTGAGATTCAGAAGGAACTCTGTTGGATCCACTTGCAGGACTCAGACTCACCACCTTACGTATAGGAAGGGTTTTCTTGTCATCTTACTCCCATGACGGGCAGTGCTGACCCTCTGTGCCAGAGCCCTCACTAAGAAGAGCACGTGTCACCAGGATATGTCATGGTTAAGGAGGTAACTGGCACAGAGCTCTCTGCCTGGAGCCCTCAGGGAGTCTGGAGGCCAGCTGGGTCCCCTACAAGCTCAGGTCCAGCTCCAAGGAGGAGGAATGGGAACGTCCCAGTGGTGGTCTTCCTGCTGATTCTGGTGCCAGGCACCCCCGGGAAATGGCGGTATTAAGCCACCTCTGTGACACCCAGCTGTTCCCTGTGTGGACAGTGCTAGTGCCCAGAGATGTCACGGCTCTTACGTGGAAAGGAGAAGGTCCACGCATCGCAGGTCTCCCCTGGAATGCAGTGGGACCCTCTGGTAATCCCTGCTGTGCATGGTATTCCTGTAGGTGGGGAAAAGAGGACAAGACCATGGGACAGGCGCTGGCCTGTGACCAGCTGGTGCAGCTAGGTGGGTCTCCTTCCAGTGTTGCTGGTGGAGCTGGACTTGGGGTGGCCCCACTAGGACAGCACAGCGGGATGGACAAAGAGGGTGGCCTGCACATCCTGCTCAGTGCCCATGGCCGTGTGCCGTGGACTCAATTTCCTCACTGGAAATGTGATGATGTCCTCTTCGCCTAGATTAAGGGATGAGGCAGGCAAGCTCTTGGTCCAGCACCAGGCTGAGGAGAGCCCAGTGTGGACCAGGCATTGTCCCTCCTGCGTGTGGATTTGTTCATGCTGGGATGAAGGGTTGTGTTGCCACCATGTGCCCCGTGCCTGCCTGAGGGTGTTGCCTGCATCGGTGGGGTGCCCTGGGGGTGGGCTGGCGGCTGACTCACCAGAGCTTTTGCAGGGTCCTGGTGGTGGCGGAAGGATGCTTAGCCCAAGCCATGAATGTGCATCCTGCTTGGTGCGCGGGCCGCCGCGCTGACTGCCCTTGGCGGCCAGGTCTAGTGCACGTCTCATAGCTCTCTGGTTGGCATATGACTTTGTCCCAAGCGAGGAAGATAAAGGTGTCAATCACTGCTTCTTTTCCTGTGCTTTCTTCTGACACAAATTATTTTGACAATAATTTTTCCTAACGTTTAATGAGACATACTTCAAAAAAAAATTTTTTTTTTCTTTTTTAAACAGGAGAATGTGGAAGAGCTGATGGATTTCTTCCAGGCTACTAAGAGGTATCATCTAAGTAAAAGGTTTGGCCACAGGGAGTACCTGGTTCAGAACCTGCAGTGCATGGAGACCCGAGTGCAAGGCCTTCTGAGCACCGCAGCTGCGCAGCTGACCCAGCTCATCCAGAAACATGAGAGGTGAGCCCCGCCCCAGCCTCGCCCTGCCCCGCCCCCAGGCTAGCCCAGCCCCAAGCAACCTGCCCCATCCAGTGGCTCCCTTCTTTCCATTTGCTCATAATATGCAAAGGTCACTCTACTTGTTCTTAAAAACAGCCCTCAGTTGTAAAAACCCCATGCGTCATACTGGTTTTTAAAGCACACGTGGCAGATGAGTCGTGTGATGAACCCCCGCGTGCCCATCCTTCTGCTTCCTCAGGTACCAACCTGCTGCCAGTCATGGTGGAGCTACGTGTCCCCCCATCCTGGATATCGTGGAGCAAATCTCCAGCTCCATTTTCTGGAGAAAAAGATGAAGGAGGTCAGGTTGACCATGGGGTGGTTGGGGAACAGCCCACCCGGGCCCTGGTGCTCCCTGGCATTAGCATTTGTCTTTGGCGTGGAGTGTAAAGGCACAGAGATGCTTCTCTTGGTTTGACTAGTTTCTCTCAGCAGCACCTGGGCTCCACGTGGTCAGGTGAACGGTGGTGGGCAGCGGTCTCCACGTGGGAGCACCCCTTTCTGGCATCCTGCTCGGCTTTTCTTTCAGGCAGCTTACTCGTGAACAATGAGATGTGCTCTCTTTGGGGTATGAGAAGCTCTAAAGTGAACAGGAACGTGACTGTGAGGTTGGCTTTCTTACCACAGTTTGTGGCTTAGCAATGGGTTCTGTGACTTGGGTCATTTTACCAGGACTTCACAGCTTTCTGTTCTGGTGAAAGAGGATTCTGTGAGGTGCAGATTATGTGAACACCCCCACCTCAAGATGCTGATGGATGATCCCTGCAGTGGGCTCCACATGCCTGGTTAATCTGCGCTCCAGTGAAGGGAGCCTTCTTGCCTTGAGTTGAAGGCCCGACAGCTGGGTGTCCTTGGTGAGCAGCTGCTGGGGATCCAGGTCTTGCCTCTGGTTTTTAAATTCTATTTTGAAGGACTGTTGTCGAGATTTCTGAAATGTGTAGTGCCCGTGCCTTTACCAGGTCACTGCCTCAGGATGCGTCCATTGAGGGTCTGTCCTGTGCTGGCTGGGGACCAGCCCTGGGGTGCAGACAGACTGGAGTAGAGGTGGTGTTGGGAGCAGATTGTCACAGTCAGTAACAGATTGTTACTCACAGTAACAGAAGCACTGGAGACCATGGGAGACTGGGTGTAGGAATTGGCTCACATGCTCATGGAGCAGGGAGGTCCCACCACCTGCCCTCTGCAAGCTGGACACCCAGGAGAGTTGGGGGCATAATCAATCCAAGGTGGAGGCTGGAGAACCCCGGAGCTGCAGGTGTCAGCTCCAGCCAGGGGCTGGAGCAGGGTGGGGTGTGTGCTCTACAGTGTGAGGCTGAAGTGTTCCTCCCTCCTGGCCTTCTCTTCTTCATGAGTCAGCATCCTGGATGATGTCACCACACGACGGAGGGCCCTCTGCTGCTGGACAGAGGGCCACGGCCAGGTAGACAGTGGGCTGGAAGCTTTATCTGGCTCATGGCGTGTGGTGAGGGCCACCTCACGTCGCGGCAGAAGGTGTCATGTGGTGAGGGGGCGACTGAGGGACGGAGGGGAAGGGCCCAAACTGCCCCCCTGGTCCTCAGTGGTGGCGCCTGTTCCTGGGAAGCCCTCAGGACGGCTCAGCTCTTGAATTCGGGTCCCAGGGCTTAGCCCGCCACAGTGGCAGTTCAATTTCTGTGACCTTGGCTGAGTCCACCTGTTCACGGCTGACGTCCTCTGGAAAGACCGCAGCCCGTGCACCCGCGAGCCTGTGTGATCTGGCCACTCTCGTTGGCCTTCGTCTCCTGGACTGACTGTCCTTGCTGACACATGGGATTCCTGGTCCACCGTCTCCTCTTGGGAAACTCCCCGCCCCGCTGGCCCTGAGATGGCTGCTTGCCCCGGAACTCCCGCCATTCCTGCCCTCACAGCTGAGTCTGTCCTGCCTTGAGCTTTCCCGCCCGTCCACCTGACCCTGACCTCGGTGGGCTGGTCAGCTGGTGTTTCAGTCTCGTCTCAGCCACCGATGCTCCTTCTGGAGGGTAAAGGCTTCTCTGATCTGAACCAAACCAACGAGGAGCCGCACATTCAGCCCCGGCCACCTCAGGGTTCACGGGCTTTGGTCTCTCTCCCCAGGGCGGGGTACCTGGACGAAGACCAGATGGAAGTGCTCCTGGAGCGGGCTCAGACGGAAGTCTTTTCTATAAAACAGAAGTTGGAAAACGACTTAAAGCAGGAAAAGAAAAAGCTCCACCAAAAGTTGGTGACCAAGAGAAGGCGAGAGTTGCTTCAGAAGGTACGTCAGGTGCTGCGCTGTTCCTCTTTGGGCAACCCCTGCCAACACCACCAGGTCACGGCTGCCGTCCACCCTCGGTCGGGCAGGGCGCCTGGGCACAGTGCCTGTGCCATCTGCAGTTGATTGGTGGTGACTTTTTGGGGTGCCGCTTTACGGTGGCACATCAGAGAGCCGTGGTTGACTAGCCATGTCTGCGTGGGGAGGGAAGTGGCGGCTGGTGTGAGTGACGAGGACGATGAGGCCTTTTATTACCGAGTGCTGGGCCCCGCTCGAAGCCTGGGACCAGCCTCCATCACTGCAGTGTACGCCATCGGGGTGCCGCCTGTTCTCTGAGCCGCAGGTTAAAGGACCACAACAGGCCCGAGCCCCAGCTCTGAAGGCCTGGTCCAGCCAGGGCTAGTGACTAGAAGAAGGACTGCAGACCCCAGGAGAGAGCCTCCCGGTCCTCTGCGGGCTGAGTGACCCAGGGTTAGGATGGAGCGTCACAGAGCAGACTCTGCTGTCGTGTTCCCTGTGCTGAGGACACTGCCTGACACACAGGGGCCTTCCTTAGGAGAAGGAAGGAGTGGACCCTCTCTGGTCACCAGGAACCGTGAGCAGAAGGCAGGCCGCCTCATGTTCTGGTCAAGTAGAACGAGAGCAGCTGTAGACACCTGATAAGGACACCCGTGGGCATCTCACTCCTGTCAGGCTTCCCGCCACGAGGCCCGCATGCCCTCGGTTCTTTCTCCCTGGCCTCTTCTTCCCACTTCTTAACCTGAGCACGACGAAGCCTCCCCCTTCGTGTCCGCTTGGCGTCCTTCTCCCCAGGGCCCTTCTGACTCCTCCTGGAGCCCTCCCACGTGGCTCTCGGGTTGGCTTTTTCCTTATAACATCACCATGTGCAGTTCTGGCCTGGCCTGGGGTGTGGTCATTGCTCTGAGATCTGCACCAGGGGCTTTCCTGAGGCTGTGCCGTATCAGGCCACTCATAATCGCCACAGCCACACGGTGTGTAGGTCCCATTACATCCCCGTTTTACAGAGCAGGATGTGGAGGCACTGATCCTCATTCAGGTCACTCAGCTTGTAATGGAGGAGCCAGGATTGAAACCCAGACGGCTGGCCTCTTGACTTTACCTACTCAATAAGTCTTGTTCAGTGAACATCAAACATGAAGTTTCCAACATCGTTCCTTTGATCTTCTGCAGGATAATTTCCCAAATATGAGATTGTCGGGGAGGAGTGGGGAGTCGCTAAACCTTCCGTGTCCTCTGCCTCAAATTTCCGAAGTATTTTCCCAGAGGGCTGTGCCTACCACCCTGCCCCCATTTGATCTTCCTTTGTCACCTTCCTGCCAGCACAAGGAGCAGCGGAGACAGCAGCTGTCCACCGGAGAAGCCCTCCGGGCTGCTGAAGACGCCGGCCAGTACCTGGGCCAGTGGAGGAGCATGGCGGCCGAGCACAGCGCCGCCCTGGAGGAGCTGCAGGAGGGCCTGGACCAGGCCGCCCTGGACGACCTGCGGGCCCTGACCCTGGCACTGTCGGAGAAGGCCACCGAGGCGCTGCGGCGCCTGCAGAGCTCGGGGATGACGCAGGAGCTGCTCAAGCGCAGCGTGCCCTGGCTCTTCCTGCAGCAGATCCTGGAGGAGCACGGCCAGGAGTCGGCCGCCCGCGCCGCGCAGCTGGAGGCCGAGGAGAGGGAGCGGGGCCAGGAGGGTGTCCGGAGCGTGAGGCAGAGGCTGCAGGAGGACGCCCCGGAGGCCTGGGTGGAGGAGCAGGCGGAGCTGAGGTGCTGGGAGCGCCTGATCTTCCTGTGAGTGGCCCTGCAGGCCCCCTCTGCCCCCACCGCTGCCCTCCACCCAGCTGCTGAGGCGGGAGCCCAGGCTGCGGTGCCCAGGGTGGCCCAGCACAGGGCACCGACCCAGCAGATGAGTGTGCTCTGCCACCCAGACTCACAGCTCGCGGGGTGGACGGCGGGGCCAGCGGAGGAGGGTTCTGGGGACCGGGGGCCCTGGGTGCCTTGGGAGTGTGGGTGGTTCAGTGGACTGGCAGGGCCCGGCCCACTGCTCAGGGAGAAGTAGACTGCCCCCGTCCCTTCCATAAGAAGTGTGGTTTGGTGAGGGGAGCTTGCAGAGTGGGGAGAAGGCTAGGTGAGGTCATGGCCGCCCTGTGGTCTCCCCCAAGTGTTCAGGCAGCACTGGCATTGGACCCTGGGTGCAGTTCTCACACCTGGCCGCACCATATTTCCCCTGCTCCTTCATTGGCTGGCTCATTGGGCCACTGGTTCTTATTGATACCAGAACCACGAGGACTCCCACTCCAGAGTGGGACACACTGCTGGTCACAGCTGACCAGCACTCCTGCCGAGGAACTGGAAACCAGTGCGTGAACCATGCACGATGTCTTCCAGCCACACGGAGAGACCCAGTGTCAGGACCAGCTGGAGCCGGCTCTGGTTGGGGAGTCTTCTGCTTGCCCCAGTCATCTGCTGGTTCTTTGTGCAGACTGAGATTTAGCTCAGCCCAGGAGGGAGGCATCCGTGGCATATTAGACCCACAAAGATTTTGGTGTACATTGGAAACCCTCGGAGCCCCAAATATGACCAGTGTGGAAAGAGATGCAGGTGATGTAGAACAAAAGACCAGGCTTTAAATTCCAGCACCCACCACCAGCTGTGTGGGTGTGGACAAGTTACTTAACTTCTCTGGGTCTCGTCTTTCTTGCCTATAAAACAGGGATGACAGTATTAAATAATTTATAGCACTTGATGCTATCAGGTGGGTTAACACGTGAAGCGAATGTTTATATAAGAGCCTGGCTCTATGTGGGGACCCTTGGACAGGTGTCAGGTGGCCGAGCATCTGCAGGATCTTGCTGACCTGAAGGACTTAATGCCCCTTCCCTCCCAGTCCTCCTCCCTAGCACCGACCTTGCTGTGGGGAGTCGGTCCCCAGGTGTTCATGCCGAGTGATGTCATCTGGTTTTCAGTGAGTGACTCCGCTCTTCCCACCTCTCTCTTGTGCTCCTGGCTTCATTGATTCCCTGATCTTCATTAGTTATTACTTTCCTGACACGGGAGCCTAGACGCCGTCTTCTCCAAGCCACACAAATCAGACCCTTATGGGCCCTTTGCACATGTGAGTGGCCCTTGGCAGCACTGATGCCGCCCAGGCCGCTGCTCGTCCAGCTGGCTTTGGACTCTGTGCAGCCCTTGAATTAGACTTGATGTTCCCATTACTTGGTGGTCATTTTCTTCAATTTCGTTTGGGTCCATTTTGCAGGGACCATTACTAAAACCGCCACTGAGTTAGCCACCAGCGGGGAAAGAAAAATGTGGCTTGGCTATCGGGACTCTTCAAGGTTTCTCCGAGGATTAAAGAGGGTTAACCCACAGTGACCGCGGCGTGAGCTGCTCATACGTGTGGCTTATTTAAGGTCCCAGGGGCTGCGGCCTTAGTTTCCATGGCGTTGTGTAAGGATGGCTTGGCACCATTGTTTGGAGACACGGTTTATGAGCCTCCCATCTGCACACAAGACGGGGTTGCTGTGAGCCTCTTCAGCCAGAGTTGGGATTAAGAAGGATGCCTGTTTTTTGCCAGGGAAAGTGTGTCTTGATACTCCTTTCCTAGGTTTCTAATCTGATTTTAACTGCCAGGGCAAAGACCTGCCTCCTGTCTTTCTATATTCTCTGGTCCTGGTAGCAGAGGACCAGGACCAGGCCACAGGGGCCATTCTGCTGGAAGGTGTGAGATAGGACCTAGGTGCCCGTGGGGTGCTTTTGTTCTGGACAGTAACCGGCAGACAGTGGGAGAGGCTGTGCATGGGGCGAGGGCCAGGGACGGGCTGCATCACTAGAAGTGCTCTAGAAATGGGGGGGGCCCTTGGAGTGAGGACCCCATGACAGGGTGCCCTGCCCCGGGGCCCTCGCCTGCGGCCTGTGATGTGACCCTCAGGCCTTCTGTCTTCCTCTGAGGGCCCCTGACATCCTGAACTCCTCCTGCACTTCCACAGGAGAACTTCCCTGGTGAGCCAGGATGTAGAGATTCGGGTGTGTGAGGCTTGCCCTGGCCTCCCTGGGAAGTATTCTGCAAATGTTCCCAGAAAGCCACTCCCATGCAGCCTGTTGACAGTGCCAGAATGACAGGAGAAACTCAGGTCGCTCTGCAGAGATTGGTTGGATGAATAAACAGACACACCCTGTCGGAAGCAGGAGCGAGAGGTCAGGCCCCTTCCTGGTTGCTCCCTCCCGAGTTGAGGAGGGACTTCCATCCAGACGTCCACCCTGGGACCCACGAAGCTGGGAAAGTGAGCGGGTGGCCACTCTCCCTTGGGAGTGGCTGTGGGCCTGGCCAGAAGGAAGCTGGGGATGTACCTCAGTCTCCTCTTGTGTAAGTCGAGGATCAGCAATGATGTAGGTCAGGGTCTCTGATTCCCAGGGCTCCTTAAGGGGGCACCACAGCCAGGTGGCTTCAAACCAGAGGCACGTGATTGTCTCCCGGTTCTGTGGCCACAGTGAACTCGGGGTGCAGGAGGCCGTGCTCCACTGAGGCTCTGGGGAGGCCGTTCCTCAACCTTCTCTGAGCTTCTGCATTGGTCTGTAGACACGTCACTCCTACCTCCACCTCTGTTGTCACATGGCTCCTGCCCCGCATGATTGTCTCCTCACCTGTCCCACCAGGACATCAGTTATATCAGAGTTCGGGTCCACTCCATTCCAGTGGGTCTTCATTTGCAAAGACCCTGTTTCCAAATGGCCCATTCACAGGTGCTGACTTTAGATTCACATCCAAGGGACACAATTCAGTGCATAGCAGTAAACTGCCTGGCATGGTCTGTGGCGTGGAGTAGGTTTGTGATAAATGACAGTTGCCAGTTGCCATCCTTTAGGACCCTTTCCCTGACCCCGACCTGTCCTGGGTGCCACTTGCCCCTGCTTACAGTGCTGTTGCCTGGGGTTGGTGGACAGGGCTTCATTTCTTGTCTGTTTCTCCAGCGGGGCCAGTTGTGGTCACGGGCGTGAATGCCAGAAGACCGATTCCTCCTCTTGGGCTACCTCCTTGAGCTCTAGGTCTCAGCTCCACATGACCCTGTGCCCAGCAGTGCATACATTAGGCACCCAGGAAAGGCTTGCGGATTGAACGCCCTGAGGAGCAATGCGTTTCCTCCACACAGGGACTTAGTTCATGGGCCGTGAAGTCCCAGCTCCTGCCCCAACCCCACACCTGCATTTCCTCTTGGTGGAACATGCCACTGTCCCCTCCACAGGCGGCTCTGCTGCTCGGCCTTCTCACTGTCTGAAGAGGAGCTGCTCAGGATGAGGCAGGAGGTCCACGGCTGCTTCGCCCAGATGGACAGGAGCTTGGCCCTACCCAAAATCCGAGCCCGAGTCCTGCTGCAGAGATTCCAGACCTCCTGGCGGGAAGCAGAGGTCCTGAAGCTGGACCAGGCCCTGGCTGCACCCGAGCTGCAGGTAGGCGGGACATCATGGCCTCTCAACTGCAGGGACTGGCCACTACTCCGCAGCATCTGACCCTGCGGGGTCCTGTGTCTCTGTCCCCCACCCAGATTCCTCTCCTCTGTCCTCTCCTTTCCAGCCATGGTAGGTCTTACAGTAGTTCTTGGAACAGCCAGGTTGTCCTGACCTCAAGGTCTGGGGACAGCTCTGTGGCCATGCAGATGCCCTTACCCAGCTGGTACAGTGTCCACCTGCAGCCGCCCGTGGTTTGCAGCCACACTCTTCTGTACTCTTCTCCTGAATGTTGTGCTGGGTGGAAGGGAGGCACCTGACCTGAGAAGTGGCTCTCTTCTCTTCTCCCATCGTTGTGGACAGTGACTGATTCAGGGTACAAAAGGCCTCTCTGCAAGTGGCACCAAGGAGGGTTGCTCACCTCAGCTCAGTGGGCTTGGAGAAGAGTCTCTTGTACTGGGATGGTGATTGACAGCTGCCTTTTAGTGACCACCTGCGTGTCTCAAGGGCAGATGAGTCTGGTGCAGCTGATCCTGCACATGATCTGGAACTTGCTGTTGCAGACCTCTGTGGCCACACCTCCTTAATGCATGTGATCTGGAACTTGCTGTTGTAAACCTCTGGGGCCACACCTCCTTAATGCATGTGATCTGGAACTTGCTGTTGTAGACCTCTGGGGCCACACCTCCTTGAGTGCCATGATTTTGATCTTGCTATTGTAGACCTCTGGGGCCACACCTCTTGAGTGCACATGATCTTGAACTTGCCATTGCTCCTGCCTGCAGCATGCTTTGTAGTCTCTTCACCCCTCAGTTCAATGTCACCTCCACCAAGAGGCCTTCTCTGAGTGCCCATGTAAAATAACCTTCTCCCAGGCATGCTTTGTCACGAGACCACCACCTGGCATGATCCAGGTGATCCCCGCTGGCCTGAGGTGGAGTTTGGCAGTTCTGTGAGCCAGAGTCTTCCCTTGGCTTGGGGCGACCTGGGGCTGCATGAGCTTGCTGGTGACCATCTTGATGCCAGTGTTTTCTCTGACCCCTCTCCACCCACAGTCCAAGGCAAGGAAGCCGCGGTCCAAGAGTAAAAGCAAGGTAGACCTTTTGAAGAAGTGCATTGAAGACAAGATTCGCCTCTTTGAGGAACAGGCTCCTGAGGACCTGCTAGAAAAGGTGGGTGCGTCTGCTTCATTGGTTGCGTCTCTCTGCACCCAGCAGGTGACGCTGGCCGTTGGCAGGTGTGTGGAGTTCTCCTGGGCTGCTCCGTCCATCTGTCCCGAGCACCGTGCTCTGGAAGTCACCGTCCTGCACATGTGGCCCCTCTCCCCTGGGCCCTCCCCGCTCCCTGGGCCTTCTGTCTGAGCCTCTTTCCCTGGGTCTCTGCCGGGAGATCTCGTCACCTCCGGCTCTGCTCCCCGTGGCCCTGGTCCCGCTGTCATATGCCTGGCTCTGTCCTGGGGCATTGCGCCTGTCCTCTCTCCCCATCTCCTTTTTACCCGTGAGTCCTGGGCTGTGCTCCCACGTCCCCGCTCCCTCCAGCCCCTCCTCATTGCCGTGTTTGGTCCTTGTGTCCTGCGCACCCTCGGGCTCCTGCTGCTCCAGGCTGCGTTCTGCCTGCTCCTGCAGTCGCCTCTCGGGTCACTTCCTGGACGCGGAGCTCTGTCTTTTGCTGTCCTTAGGCGTTGCCTCTGTGCTCGGGTGTCCTCTCCGGGACGGCCCCCTGTACACCTGACGCCTCCCTCCCCGCAGCCTGCGCAGCCCCCTTTCAGCAGTGCTTCGGGCACTGCTCATTTGCTCCCTGAGTGTTTGAGGAGACAGTGATGTCCTGGCACCGTGTCCCCGAGCTCTGGGTGCAGCCTGATTCAGATGGTCCTGCTCCTGCTCTCTATTTGGGGACCCTGATGAGAAACACTTAAAATTGTCTCTCTGATCAGTGCTCCTCAGGGAAGGATCGAGGTGCTGTGGCCACGGCAGGCGGAGCAAGCAGGCGGCAGGTGCACTGTTGGTGGGTCGGGAGGAGAGGGCTCCTGTCGGGTTGCGTGGAGTGGACGCCACACGGGCTGCCTGTGTCCGTGTCTCCCGCGCTTTGCCCTGTGTTGGGGGCTCCCCAGAGGACTGCGTTCAGGTGCCCCCAGCCAGGCCGGGTGGAGCAGCTGTGTTTGTGCCTGTCTTCTGTCCGTGTCCTCGCCTAGTTTTGTTTTTAATTAAAAAAAAAAATTTAAGGTAGGTGTACCTTGTCTCAGAAGGCAAATGCCTGGACCTGTGAAGGGTCCTAGAACCTGCTCTGGGCGCGGTCAGTGGCTCCTTTCCAGGGTCTAGGGGTTGACCATCAGCAGTCGTGAGGAGCAGGCAGAAGTGCCTGTGACCGGTGGGGGAGCAGCTCATGATGATGCCTTGGGCCACGTGACCCGGGGCATCATCAGCGGTGACCTTTCAGTGAGAGGTGTCCTTGCAGTCTGCCTTCCCACCTGGCAGGTGCCCACCTCAGGCGCTCCCTGACGGCAGCTTAAAGGGCCTCCCTGCTCAGCAGGTGGACTTTGCTCCCATTCCTTTGCAGAGTGATCCTGGAGGGCAGCAACGGCCCCCACTCGCTGAGGGGCTGCCAGGTCATTGTCACAGTCAGGGTTCTGCAGACACAGAACAGCCAGATGTACACCCTTGTAGGCACCGACAGGAGGGTTATTACGGGGATCTGCTCAGGCAAGTGTGGAGGCCGAGAGCCCATGATCCGCCCCTGTGAGCTGGGCAAGCCGAGGCAGTGGTCAGCTCAGTCTTGCCCACAGGCCTGGACCTGGGCTGCGGTGTAAGTCCAGAGTCCAGGGCCCGAGAACCAGGGGTGCCGACGTCTCCCAGGGCAAAGAAACCACGGCCCTGCTCAGGGGAAGGCCCAGGGTCCCCTTCCCCCTCCCTTCCATTCTGCTGGGCCCTCCTGAGGCTGGATGGCCCCTGCTCACACTGGGGAGGGTCTTATTTGCTTAGTCCCCCAATTCCAATGCTGCTGTCACCCAGAAACACCCTCACAGACACTTCCAGAAACAACACTCTGGGCATCCGTTAGCACAAGCCAGGTGGCACTAAAATCAACCCTCATGGTCACATTTCAGGGGAGGGAGGTCCTCAGAGTCTGTGCAGCTGTGGAGATGGCGCCAGGTCCTCTGACAGCTGCCCAGGAGACCCTCGGAGGACAGCCTGTGGGAATGGGGTGCCTCCAGGGCCGCTCTGGTCTCTGGTTCACCTGGGGCAGCAGAGCATGCTGGGAACACTGTTGGGGCCCCTCCTTGACTGGAATCTGCAGTCACCAGTCCACCCTTAGCCCTGGACTGACACCCCCTTGTCTGGACTCCTCCGTGTGGCTGAGGGGAAGTGGGGTCTGGGGAGGGAAGGAGGATGGTTCACCCACCACCAGTGATGGCCAGGGCTGGGGTGAACCGCTGGCCGCCGTCCCCCTTGCCCTGCTGTGCAGCAGTGAGCTGGGGGCTGGAGGGCGTCACCTTCCTGGGAGGACTCTCGGGGACTCTCTGTCCCCCCTGCCCCGCCCTTCCTCCCATGTTCCTTTGCTTCTCCTTCCCAGCCTGCCCTGCCCGGCTCTTCCTCCTCCTGCTGGGAGCACTGCTTTGTGCCTTCCCTGGGCCGGGCCCCTCTGGGGTTCATGGGTGTAGAGGCGCAGCTTGTCCCTCACCCCTGCAAGTCTGCCTCTGCTTTCAGAAAATCCACTGCCAGTCTGAAGCTCCACCCAGAATCCAGGGCCGTGGGTGAATTTGGGAGGGACAGAGAGGGACGGGCAGACCAGTGCGGGCCTCCTGGCCGCCCGCTCGCTTTCTGAACAGCTGACAGGTTGATGGGCCCCGGTGACACCTGTGTGTGAGGTCTGCACTCCGACGAGAGGCAACACAAGTGCCAGCCACGTCTGGCCTGTGCTTCCTGGCGGCTCCTCCCGGGCCTGTGGTAGCTCTGCCTGAGCAGATCTCAGTGGGCTTCTGTCGCTGCAGCCCCTGTGGGGCTCTGCTCCGCAGACTGTGGACACAGCGGCCCCCAGGCTTGACTCTGGTGTCCTGAATCTGTGGAGCTGCTGGGCTCCCCTGGGCTCCCGCCTCCCTCCGCTGCCTCTGAGCAGAGCGGGCAGTTGTGCAGCCCACCTGGCCCTGAGCTGCCGTTTTCTGGTCTAGACTTTTCCTAAGATCCTGGTAGTTTAAGGTGGAGAGTAAATCTGTTCACTGCTGCTCCATCCTGGCCAGAAGCCGCATTTCTAACCCATCCTTTCATCCCTGGCTTCTAATTTTATGCATTATTTAGAGGAAAAAGTATGGGTGCGATCGACTTTGAAGTGGATTGGGGCTTCCTCGTGGCTTTATCCTAGGCCCATCTGAAAAACTACTTCCTTTGTCCTCAGAAAGACCAAGTGTTTTCTGATGGGTGGGGAGCCAGGCCCCAGGAGGCAGGGGACTGCCCCAGAGAGCGCAGACGTCCTGAGGTAAAGTGGACACCACGCAGGCCCTGGGGAGGGCTGGGGGACAGGGTCACCTGCCTACCTGGCCTGGGAGACTCCCCGGTGGAGGTGGTTGGCCAGATCTATTGGATGGAACCTCCTGCTCAGATGGCCCTGGCCAAGCTCCGGTTTGTTGAAGACCTTGATGGGGACATAGGACATGTTTTCCCCCCACCTCAGTGTCAGGCCAAGCCCACGGCGGAGCAGGTCTGCGTGTGGCACAGCTGCGTGGCTTGTTTTCTGACTTTCCATGAAAATAGACCTATCTTTCTTCTTCTCCTCCTTCCTCTCTTTCCAACTCTGTCATCTGTCTGTGGTCTGTTTCTGCTTCTTGCTTAAGCTGAAGCTTGGGGACTCCCTGTTGACACAAGCGTCCTCCTGCCTTCGACAGTGGCTTGGCAGCTCAGCCCTCAGCCGGCAGGTTGTCTTCATCCCCTCGATATTTCAAGGCTCCTGGAGCCTCCGCAGCCCTCCACGGGGAGGGAGGAGGACCAGCTGCCTCTCTTGGGTGGAGAAGTGAGGCTCAGGGTGGTCGCAGGCTCCTCCCAGGCCACACAGCCGGCGCCCGCAGCACAGCGCAGCCACCTGCTTCCTGCACCGGCAGAGTGGTTTGGTGGATCCAGAATGGAAGGACGTTGGGCCTGTCTTGGGTGTGCTTCTCCTGCTGTTTGAATAGATTCCTCATCCCTGTTCTCCAGGAGCCGGAATCACATGACTGCATTCCCCACTCGCCCATTATTTCTGGTCTTGTTCTGATGATCTTCCTCCTGTCTGGACAGCACGCCCACCACAGCCACCGCCCATCCGCCCATCGTATCCACGTCCCAGACTCCACTGCCTGCACGTGGCCCTCCACTTGCCATAGTCTGGGCAGCTGCCTGGGCGAGTCTGCAGAGGCGGCTGGCACGGTCAGAACCGCTCTTCACACTGCTCTGACTTCAGCAGGATGGAGCAGGAGGATGAGGTGCCTGACCAGCGGGGGATGGAGGGCCAGGCCTCCTAAAGCTGGGACACAAAGGTGCTGTGAGCAGGGACCACCTAGGCAGGGGAGGGGACATTCCCCCATCCACAGGGCTCTGCTCACACTGTCCCCCTCGTCCCCCGCAAGCTCCCCGCCCTGAAGCTCCCTTTTGAGAGTCTGTGGCTTCCCATTGCCCCCCTCTTGGCCACGGGGCCTGGTGGTCAGACCTCAGCTCGCCTTTCTGATCTGTTCTACCTTTCACGTTCCTAAAGACGACGGGCTGTCCCCGGGTGGTTGGACGTGATCACCCTTTTCCTATTTTCCATTGGTTGTTCATTTAAAATGTTCCCTTCTGTCTTCATCAACCCTCCTGTAAGTAGTCAAATGCCTCTTTCTACAAAGCTTGGGCTAAAAAAGAGCCACTCCCCCCAACACACACACACGTATTGTTGACTCCTCAAGTTAATAGTTCCTAACTTTTTGCTTGATATTTTGATCTTGGTGACTCTAACACGCTTGTCTTGCTGTTGGATCTCCACCTTAAGATTACTGATTTGCAGGCTGGGGCTGTGGCTCAGTGGTAACACACTTGCCTGGATTCTCAGCACCACGTATAAATAAATAAAATAAAGATCTATCAACAACTAAGGAAAAAAACTAAAAAAAAAAAAGGATGACCTATTTGCTTTCCTTTGTGGAAGGTGAAGATTTACTCTGAGTCTTCTCAACCTGTACCCCACATGCCCTGACACAGTTAGATCAGCATTTACATTTTCTATTATTATGACCACCTGAATGTTATCCACAGGTGAATCACAGAGCAAACTGGGGTCTTCTTCATTTCTGCGTTAGCTTTCTGTTTTTCTCGGAGTTACTATCATCCTTTAGTTTCTCTTGGGTTACTTTTCCCTACTTACCACCAAAATTCGGTCCACTTCTCGACAGCTGGCCAGACTTCCCACCAGGACCATCACCTCTATTAATCCCATCTCCCTGAGGACATCTCTCCGTGCCTCTGCACTGCGGCCACCTTGGGGTCATGCTGCCAACCCTCTTCAGCCTTCTCTTTTCTAATTTCTTCTTTGTTACAATGAAACACATCTTCTGTTAGTTTCCTAGGAAAGGAGTTAATACTTTGAACTTTTGCAAGACTGAAAATGCTTCTGTTTTGCCCTGTGCTTGACATCAGTCTGACCCATCTTGGGATTCTGGAAACTTCCTTCAGTTGCATTAAGGGTTCCTCCCCTTCTGAATATCCAGATGCTGATCTCTTTTCCTTCACCTTCCTCTTTCACTGTTTTCCTTCTCTTTGTCCTTTGCTTTACTTGTCTTACAGACCTTTGAGTTTTTCTCTTGTGTTTTCAATTTCTAAATCTTCAAGAGCACCCACCCTCCATACTCTCTTCCTTAAAAAAGACCATGAGGGCTGGGGCTGGGGCTGAGGCTCAGTGGTGGAGCACTTGCCTAGCATGTGGGAGGCCCTGGGTTCAATTCTCAGTAGTGCATATAAATAAAATAAAGGTCCATTGGCAACTTAAAAACATTTAAGCCCATTTTTAAAAAAAGAACATGTTTTTTTGTTGTTGTTTTAAGACTCATTTAACGTTCTACCTCTTTCTGAGAATGATTTTTCTTTTTCTAATTCCTGGGTATTCACTTCTGTGTTCATTAGAAGTTTTCCCAGGCTTGTGGTCTTCCTTGGTGGTCTGCTCATATTTAAGAATGGGGTAGTAAAAAGCTGTCAGGAGTCTCTGGGCCTCCAAGTGGGGCTCATAGACTGTGACCTTCACTCTGGTGTGATGAGACTGGGCCATTCTGCTGGGGAACCCCGGGGTCAGTGCCTTCAGACCTAGTGCCTTCAGGCTAGTTGGGTTCCTGAACGAGGGCCACTGCAGCCTCCTGCCTACGCAGCAGACTGGCTGCCCAGCTCCTGCGGAGCCAAGTGGGGAGAGAGCTGGGGATGGAGGCCTCTCAGCCCAGTCTCCAGCGTGGGGCCTCTGCCACCAGACGAGCCTGGTCTCCTCCTCCTGGGTCAGACTCCCAAAGAGCAAACCCCAGCTGTCTGCTGGGCAGGGGGGGCAGGGGCTGTGGACGGAGGTGGGGGGGACTTCCGGGGGCCTGCTCCCTGGTTAGCTGGCCGCCCTCTCCTTTACCAACACTGCTAGGTGCACGGGGACTGGCTCTGGGCGACCATCCAGTCCCTTTCCACTCGGACGTCCAATTTCTGGCTTTTAGATTCTGCTCCCTCTGAGCCCACTCTTCCTTTCCTTCTTAACACAGTAGGTGCACCTTGTAAGTCCCTTTGTCATCAGCCACCTCCAGTGTTGACCTTTCTGTACCTCGTACTGGATTTTGTGATCAGAAACAGACAACCACAACCTCCCCTTCTAGAGGGGGAAAGTCCCTCAATATCGCGAGCCATTCTTCCCGTCTTTCCTGGCTCGACTTTAGAGAGGTCCTCTTTATTAAGGGTCAAGGTGGTGATAACGGCAATGATGCAGTGAGGGGACTGGCAGCTCCTGCTCTTTTGTTTCCTTTTCACACACAAACCTGAGGCTCAGAGAGGTTGAACACCTTGGCTGGGTCACACAGCTGGTTAGGTGGTTTCTTGCAGGGAAGAGACGGCAGACCAGCCTTAAACTCCAGGTGGCCAGGCAGATGCCCCTCGATTGTGTGACATTTGTGCTCTGATCGTGGTGGGGGCGGGAGGTCGAGTCTTTCCAGGAGCAGAAGTGAATAATCCTGAATCTGAATGGGAGTGGAGTGATGGTCCCTGAGCAAGGTCGTGTTGTTCCACAAACATTGATGCAGGGGACCTCACGGGTCCGCTGTCCCCGATGGAAGACGCGGGAGGGTCTTCTTCACTTCCCGCCTGCCTACCCACCTCGTCTGGGCACCTAGAGCCACTGAGGGGAGGATCCGCCTGGAGAGGGACCCTCCAGCCGCAGCGGTGCTCACGGAGCGTGGCTCAGCCCCCTCTTCCAGCTGGTGGATGCGGGAACCTTGATGTGGCCTCTGCTGGCCTGACTTTCCGTGGCAGGCACTGGACTCTCCCTCCGGCCCCCTGTTCCCCCCGGGTGTTATGGGATGGGATTAAGGGGGTGGGTGCGGTCAACTCCTCCTCTCTCTGGGAGCCCGAGGCCTGAGGGGCCCCTTCTCTGCAGGTTGTGTGCTGAACCTGGGGGCCTCCCGGTTGGAGACCCGCCTGAGCCCCCTCCTGTGAGCTCCTCATGGTGCTGAGGCTGACCTGACTCAGCCTCTGGCTGGCTGGCCCTTGCATCCGGTTGCATGGGCTTCCAGACCTGCCGACTGTGACTTCACGAATCTCCAGAGTCCCCCGTGGCTCTGCTGGCTGGCGGGGTCTCAGGGCATACCTGGGATTCCTCCTCTGAGCTCCACGTGCTGCAGGGAAAACTGGTAGGAAGTTGGTCAAGCTTCCAATTTAAAATAAGGGAATTTAGCAGGAGATTGTTCAGCAAATGAATTATTATTATTTCAGATGCTTGAATACTTAATGAAGCCTGTCCTTAATAACCTCATAGAAATGCAAATCTGTCCTTTCCTAGGAGTCCTTTTAGAAAAGGACTTGAACCCTCTCTAGAGACATAATTTCATAGTCTGGAATGAATAAATTAAGCTTTCCAAGGAAGCAAAAAGGATTTTGGAATATCTTAAATTTTGTAGTCCATGTTGTTCTTATGGGATACACAAAGAGCTAATTGTTCCCCCACATTTTCAGTTTACATTTGCATAAACAGAACTCCAGCTAGCCCTGTGGCCACCTCATTCTGCCCTGCATCTCTGTAGGAGACTGGCCCTTGTAAGACTTGGACCACTGCTTGCTCACCCAAGAGGGAAATCGAGACCATATGGTATAACCTGTAAAACTGAGCTCATGCAGGTGCATGATGAAGGAGGCAGCTCGTCCATTTCTTGCTCATTTTTCTATTGTGCTGAAACATTAACTTCACAGAAAACACACCGATTCAATCATTTTTAAATGTACAGCTCACTTGTATTAGTCAGATTTCCATTGCTGTGACAAAATACTTGAGAAAAACAACTTAAAGGAGGAAAGAGGTATTTTGGCTCTCTGTTTCAGAGGTTTCAGCCCATGGTCAGCTGGTTCCATTGCTGTGGACCTGTGATAAGGCAGAGCGTTGTGGCAGAGAGGGCGTGGTAGAGAGGTGCTGCCCACCTTGGTGGTTGGGAAGCAGAGAAAGAGGGAGAGGGAGGCTGGGAACCAGATATGGTCCCCAAGGACATTTCCTGAAGGACTCTCTTCCTGCGGTGAGGTCCTGCCTCCTGCATTTCCTCCACCTCCAACAGTCCACTCATTCAGGTGACTGCATCAATGGGACCACCCACTGACGAGGGCAGAGCCCTCAGGATCCCATCACCTTCCCAAAGCCCCACCTCGGATCCCTGCTGCCTTGGGGACCCAACCTGCAACACAGGAGCCTTTGGGGACACTCCAGGCTCAATCCTCAGCAGGCACCAGGTACCCTCGCACATGAGTGTCATCACCATCGCACTCCGGAACTTTCCGTCTTGCATATGCATCATACAGTGTCCACCGTTCCTCCTGCCCCGTCCCCAGTGCCTTTATGCATCTGACTTCCCAGGGACTTCAGATGGGGGGTCATGCAGCACTTGTCCTTTGGGACTGGCTCACGTCACACAGCCTGGTGTCCTCGAGGTCTGTCTCTGCTGCAGCAGGGTCGGGATTCCCTTCCTGGGTAGGCCGAGTGGACCGCGTTTTCCTTGTCCGGATGTCCCCCCCTGGTGGACTCGGGCGTGCGCCTTTCTTTGGGTCATGGTGACTTTGAGGAGCCACGGTGCCTGTGCAGCTTTTTTTCCGGGTCACACTTCTGCTCCTCCTGCAGAGAGTGGGGTGCACAGAGCGCAGCCTGCCTTTTAGGGCTCGGGTGAGGTGAGAGGCACTGATGTCACACCTGTAGCCTTGACAGAAGAGAAGACAGGTGGACGCTGAGGGACTGTAGCCGAGTGGCCATGGTCGGGTCTGCTGGCTGGACACGTACAGAGCTCCGGGTGCAGCCTGCCCTGCCTCTAGCAAGTGTCCCCAAGGGGAGGAGGAGCTGGAGGGACGAGCAGAGAAGAGCAGGACAGGCGCTTGCTCCCAGAAGTGAGGATGCCCGAGGGGCCGGTCGGGAGCTGGAGACCAAAGGAAGAGGGCGTGGCGGGCACTTCAGTCAAGCAGGTGCCAGGCTCTGCACAGGGTGGAGGGGCCTGGGAGCTTCGCAGGGAGAGTGAACGGAGGGTCTGAGCCGACGGCAACACGCCCCGCTCACCCTCGAGGGTGGTAAGTACAGCATGAAGGACAGGCGTGGTCCTCAGAAGCTGGACACTTCCCGGTGGCTCCTGTAGGTTCCCGTGCTTCTGTGGGACGGCCCTGGTCTCTGTGAGGTTGCTGGCTCTCCTTCCCGTCCCTCGGCTCACTGCCCTCTGGTGCTGCTGGTCCCCCAGGTGCGAGGGGAGCTGCTGCGGGAGAGGGTGCAGCGGCTGGAGGCCCAGGAGGGACGCTTCGCGGAGTCGCTGGTTGCTGTGCAGTTCCAGAAGGCGGCGCGGGCCGCCGAGACCCTGTCGGCCTTCACCGCCCTGCTCAGCATCCAAGGTCTGCTGCTGGAGGAGCTGAGGGAGTCGGAGACACTGAGCCAGGCGGCTTGCGGCCAGATCCTGCAGTCCCACAGCCCGGTGAGTGCAGGAGGGGTCGGGAGGCACCGGCACCTTCTAAAGCCACCGTTTCCTCCACCTGCAGATGGGCCATGAGCGCCCGGCCGGTCTATGCCCTGGGTGGGCTGAGGACCAAGTGGGGTGCATGGTAGGTCAGCAGCCTGCAACTCTCAGCCCAGGCAGCTCCAGGGCATTGCCTCTGGGGAGAGACCGTGGGGAACTGGTGAATCTTCTGGTCAATGGCGGGGGCCACAGTTTAATGACATTAGTGTTTCATTCAAACAACAGAAGTGCATGTTTGAATGAAGATGCAGTATGGGGGGAAAAAGTGCATATTTCAATTAAGGGCATCCTGAATGTCACCGTATATTGGATTGTTTATCTTTGCAATTCTAAATTGTCATTAAGCCTGCAGGCTGCACTCTTTCAGGGTGAAGAAGAGGATCCATAACATGAGAGCTATGGTAATAACTGTTTTGAGGACTAATTTGAGGTCCTTTGTGCCTAGACTTTAGAATTTTATGTGTCACCTATTACTGTGATAATTACATGCAGGGGGAGGCCTCCCAGGTGTGGAGTAGCTCCTGGGGGCAGGCAGGGGCTCGAGTGTCGTGAATGGACCAGCGGCCAGTTAAGCATCGGCAGCTCTATTCTGTTTCTGAAGACTGCCATTTAAGTGTGATTAGCACTGAGTGCCGTTCCGCGCCCTCTGTTGTGGGTTATATTGTTGATTATCTGGCCCTGCTGTGAAGTGGGTGTTGTCAGCACGCTCACTCCTCAGGGAAAGAGAGATGTGGGCAGGTGGCAGGTCACAGCCTTCGTGAAGATGAGTGACAGGAGCCAGAGTCTTTCCCTGAGTTGGTGCACTGTCACCTTGGTGGATGGACTGTCCCAGCTGAGTTCATCAAGATGGGGGTCCCATAAATTCTTTAAAAGGTGGCAAATCACACTTGACTCTGAAGAGTCCAAGACTGTTTTCTGGCACATGGTGAATGCTGCGTGGTGACAGCTGTCTTAAGGACAGAGCTCCCGTAGGGTCTCTGGGTGCTCCAGCACTGAGCTTCCAGTGCTGCCCCCGTAAAGCTCAAGCATAGGAGAACGTCCTTCAGGACTGGCTGCGGGTGTCCCCGTCAGAGCTGCAGGGAGCCTTGAGAGCAGATCGGGAGCCAGCACTGCTCTGACACCACTGACACCCGGAACCCGGGTTGGGATGAGCCCCGGGCAGGAGTCTGTGGGATGTGTCCATGGGGCAGGACACCCAGACAGGCTGGGGGGCCAGAGCCCCTACCTTCCCGCCTGCTGCATGCGCGGGGGGGGGGGGGAGCTGCCCTATGAGTTTTAAGGAAAGGCCTCAGCAGAGTGAAGACGAGAAGGGACCAGATGCATGCAGCCCTTCAGCCAGGACACCCCAGGTGACAAAGGAGCCAGCAGGACTCCAGGCTGGTCTCCAGTCCTGGTGCAGAGACTCGTTCTCTGCAGAGCAAGGTGTCTGCAGAGGACACATCGGGATTTCTAAAGACTGAGTGCAGCCAGAGGTGAGCTCTCCGTGGGCAGGAAGTCACTGGGCAGTGAGAAGCCAGGGAAGATGACCTGTGTGAGCAGGCCAGGGCCTTCGAAGACATTGGGGACCCAAAGCATCAGCGGAATGTCATGATTTGTGAGTTTACTGAAAAAATAAAGGTCATACGAAAATGATGTTGAAACGTTGGTCACCTGGAGCATTAGTGATTCTGGACTTGTGTGAACTTAATAAAAGAAAATAAGAAGAAGGAAAAGTGAAAGAATAGGGAGGAGTCAGGTTAAGGTGAGAATCTCGGCACACACGCTTCAGTATGATTGGTGATCAGATGGAGCCCAGAGGGCACACAGAAGAGCATCTGAGAAGCCGCCCTGAGTGCACCCAGGATTCACAGCAAACAGGTAACCAAAATGTGTCCTTAGCACACACTGGAGCAGTGACAAATAATCACCATGTGTCACTCTGGCTACCTTTCAACAAAGGGCAATTAACCTCAAAACAGTTAAAAAAGATAATTGCTAAAGAGTCCATAATTTGTGACTTCAGAACATACCTCTGAATAATTCCTAGGTCAAAGAAATAATGGAAAATATTTTTAAAAACATAGAGCAGAAAAATAATATACCTATGACATATCACAATGTGGAATTCAGCTAAAGCAGGTTTTGGAGGGAACTTTATACCCTAAGCTACATTAGGAAAGAAAGGCCCACAGCTGACCATGTAGGAAGCTGGGGTGGGGGAACTGGGGTAATTGGCCTGTGGAAAGCAGAGGAAGGAACACTGCATAAATAAAAATAAAAACAGAACTGCCACAAAATAAAAATAAAAATAGAACTGCCACAGGGAAGTGGAAAGTTGACTTTTTTGGGGGAAAAAAACTTATAGAATATACAAATGTCTGGCAAGACTTGCCATGACAAAAAGAGGTGAGGGACAAGTAAATAATACCAGAGTTTAGAAAGCAACTGTAGATGCAGCAGTTTTTTAAAATAGGAGAATACCGTGCACAGCTTTATGTTGAAGAATCTGAAAACTGAACTGAAAGGAGAAAATTTCTAGAAAAGTCTGAAAGATTGACTCAAGATGGAAAAAACATGTACATTCCTAATGCCATGAAAGAAACTGGTGCATAGGTTAAGCACCTCCCTGTTCACAGAAAACACCCAACCGAGACAGTTCTGTAGGCGGGTTCCACCAAACCTTAAGGTCTTCCGCTGGTCTCGGGTGCACATTATTCCTGAGATTAGGAGGATGCTAATTTTATGATGCTCAGCAAACCTTGATACCGAAACCAGACACGAGCAGTCTAAGAAGGAACAATGGCAGTTGTGATCATAGACACCAGATGTGAACATGACCCATCCATCTATGAGAAGAAGTCAATACATCGTGGCCAGGTTGAGTTTCTCCCAGGAGTATACGGTTGGTCTCTCAGGAGAAATCAGAACACCATTTTGAAAATCCACCTAACGGCTAACGGGGGAAACAACCCAGACGCTCGTTTCCGCATATACACCCACTCGAGGTGGACTCCTGGTAACGGGAGGAGGCCTGGCCCAGCACTTACCCAAACACACAGCACGGGATGCACTCGGAGTGGTTGGCACGGAGGGAGCCCTGTCCTGGATTCCAGATGGAGGGAATAAAGCCTTCCCAGGGAAGGACAGTCTAAGGTCAGGGAGTCGGGGGCAGAGCGAGACACTAGGAGCCCTGGCTCTCAGTTCACAGTTACGTGCTGCCTCCACCTGCACGGGGAACACCTCAGTGCGGCCTGGAAGCCCCTCGTGGTGCTGAGATCACCTGTGTCCACTGGTAACTGAGACCACAACACCCTGTCCATCTTGAGACTTTGAGTAGGACAGAGCTTCCTACCACTGGTCTGTGGGGAAGAGGCCGTGAGTCCTGAGTGGAGATGACGTGGTGTCCTCAAGGCCAAGGTGATGGGTGACCGCTGTTTCATTCAGTCTGCAGTTGGCAGGAGACGGCCGTCTTACTCTAGATGTTGGACTCCATTTTGCATTTGATCGTCTGCATCAACCGCTCTCCTGTTGGAAATGGGCTTTTAAGCTGTGAAACACGCAGGAGGATTAAAAAAGCATGCAATGAAATGCTGTGGGAGAAAGGACTCCTGCGAGGGTGATGTTGAGTGCACCTCATTGATGAAGGGTTCAGACTCTTTTTGTGATATTGGAGCATATGCAAGGTGTAATTGGATCAGGGCAGAATGGTTGTTATGGGCAGATTTAAACAGGAAGGACTTCCAGGGAGCAGATGCTGTGACCCCAGACTAACTGTACGCACTGTATGTGCATTTGGTTTGAACTGCTGAGCACGCACCTCCAGGCCCATGGGCACCTCCCTTCCCTCCTCCCTCCTCCTCCCTCCGCCTGGTTCTCCTGTGCCAGGACTCACCCTCTGATGATTCTGCCTGAGTTCTTGCACTCGGTCTTCTGTGGCCTGGCTTCGCGGCTCCCAGCCACCCGTTCTTCAAAGGCAGAGAGCATCACTATTGGCTGCACCCGCCAAGCTATGCGTGAGGCCCAGGCACTGACTGTGCTTCTGCCCCTTCCTTCCCTCCACGGTGGCATTTCTAGTCCCATTCTTCTGGGGAAGAGGCTGAGCTTAGGGAGGGACGGTCATTTCACCAAGGCCCACAGCAGCAAAGCAGGCCTCCTGTCCTAAGATCATGCCCCTGGCCCCCTCCCTATTCCAGCCTCCCCTCCACACTGCGGCCAAAGGGTTCTTTATGAAAAATAAAATGATCACGCACAGCCCCACCCCCAGGTCCACATTCCACCTCCTAGCTGGGAGCAGTGGCCCACGCCTAATAATCCCAATGGCTTGGGAGGCTGAGGCAGGAGGATGGCAAGTTCAAAGCCAGTTCAGCAAGTTATCGAGGCCCTAAGCAGCTCAAGGAGACCCTGTCTCCAAATGAAATACCCAAAGAGGCTTGGGATGTGGCTCAGTGGTTAAGTGCCCCTGAGTTCAATCCCTGGTATAAAAACAAAAAAAAATCCTCACCTCCCTACCATTCCTCCCTCAGACCCTGGGCTTCAGGCCCTAGACCTTCCTGCTGCTCTGAGCCCTGAGATACATTCAAGCATCTGTTCCTTAGAGGGACCTCTACCTAGAAGACTTCTGCCACACCTCCTTGCAAACTCCTGTCTACATTCTAAGACAAGCCCAGGGATCGCCTCCATGAAGCCACCCAGGATGCCCTCCGGTGGCACCATCTGTCCCAGCTCTGTGCTCCCAGAGCCCCATCTGAATCTGTGATCACCGAGGATGGTGTTCTGTCTCTGTCTCTGCATACGAGCTGCCCCCTCCCCACACTGAGTCTTCAGGATCTAGAGATATGTCCCACTCACTCTGAATCCCAAAAATACCCAGCAAAAAGGAACTCTATCCTCTGTCCACCCATCCATCCGTCGGTCTGTCTATCCATTCTCTGCCTAATCTATTTCTACCATCTTTCTATCCTCTAGTCTATTGTCCATCGTCTGTCACCTGTCTACCTATCATCCCTCCTTCCACCACCCATCGGTGTCACCAGCTGTCTCTCTGTTCATGCATCGGGCAGGTACCTGGTGGTGGTCTCGGAGGCCGCTGAACTGAGAGATGGGACCAGAGACCAGAGAAACCTCAGTTCTCTCCAGCTGTGTTTTTGCCCAACACTGTGACTTCAGGAGTTTCACTTACCCTCTCTGTGCCTCAGTCACCTTATCTATAAAAAGGGATAATGGTAAATTCTGATTTTGTGTCATTTTGTGAAGATTAAATAAGTTGTGTAAATGCTCTGGCCCAGTGTAGACATTCAGGAAATGTTAACCGCCATTATTATTATTGTTGTTGTTATTATTATTATTAACTTTTTCCACGAGCTGGGCCCTGTTCTCACTTCTGGGGAGAAAGACAAGTCACCACAGCCCGGGATTCGTGGTGCTTGTATTTAAAGTCTAGTAGCAGAGCAAGCTCTAAAGAAGGCAGGCCCAGACGGAGCTTGGAACCCAGTGGGCAGGTGCGGAGGGGAGCAGGCTTGGGGCACAGGCCTGAAGCTCTGGAGAAAGTCCCACCAGAGAACGCTGAGCTGCAGGCCATGTCCACCTGCCTTCCATTCCTGACCAGGGATTTCCAAGCTCCTCTAGAAGAGATGGCCTCTGTGCTCCACCACTTCTCTGGTGACCCCAACAGGCTTGGGTTGGAGTCTTCCATCCCACACTGTTCCCAGCAGAGGTCTGGCCAGGCTCACAGCTCGACAGAACACTGTGGGAAACCACGTAGGGCTACCTCTTCTCCCCTCAGGGTGCTGCAGTGATCAGCGGTCAGGATGGCAGACCCCAGTGGGTGGACGTGCCGCTCCGCAGCTCTCGAGGCTTCCCAGGCCCTGGATTGAGGCTGCAGTGCGTGGCCAGGCTGCCAGTCTCTCCACGCTGTGACCTCGGGGCTCCTCTCGGCCACTTGTCCCACTGTCGTGGTTCTCGGGTTGTATTTCTGAGCCTTGGGGACTGTGGACTCTTTTGAGAATTTGATACAAACTTTGTTCCCTCCGCAGAAATCAGAGTACTTTGTACATATTTAGGAGGATCAGGGGCCACCGTCCCCCGTGAGGCCCACCAGGACCTCTCAGGATGAGCCCCACTGACCTCCACCTCGGCTTTCCCTGCCTGCACCTCCATGGCCTGGGGGCCTCCTACCTACCCGGGCCCACCTTGGCAGACTCCTCTGCTGAGATTTTCTGGTGACTTGGGAAGGCAGGTGCCCCCCGACGGTGTCAGGCAGCGTAGCCCAGTGAGAGCACAAGCCCGGAGTTCGCTGGCCTGGGCTCAGATCCTGACTCTGCCTCTCAGTGAGTGTGTCACCTGGAACATGACCGCCACTCTGCCCCGATTTCCTTCTCCATAAACTCAGAGAAGGGGGGTGTGTGGTCTAGAGTCGCTGAAGGACAGAGACCTTCCCACAGATGCCCCCCGACCTCCAGGGTTAGTTCACGATAAACTGAGAATAAGGCACAAGTTCACTTGTGGCCCTGGCCTGTGCGGCAGCTCAGCACACGCTGGAGTGCTGCTGTCCACCTCAGCACCTGGGTCTGGCTGGGGACTGTGCTGCCACCACGGTCCACTATGGCAAGAAAACATTGTACTGCGGGTCACCCGCCTGGGACACCATCCAAATTCCAGAGTTAGCGTCCGTCTTCCCTGTGTGTGCTCTGCCTGCGCACCATGGCGAAGGCAGAAGTCGTAACGGAGCCTCCTAAGTTGGTGCCACCAGGGACCAGCAGCCCTTTGGTGTGCCTCTGTGCTGTGGGCACTGTTGATAGGGACCGTGGTGCTGCGTCCCGTGACTTCTTCAGTGGCAGATGCTGGCAGGTACTCTGCGGTGACCCAGGGACAGGTGGCAGCTGCCCGGCACCGTGCACCTACTCCCTCAGGGAGCCCAAGCTGTAGCCAAAGGGTGCATGACGGTGATGCGGGTGGCTTCAAAAAAGTGCGTGTGAAGGGTGTCATTGAGATGTGAGGAGGGATGTCCCTGTCCCCCAGGGACTAGGGAGCCGGCCACCCGGGAGGTATGGTCGGTCGGCAGTCGGGAAGTCCCTGTAGAGGAAGGAGCACCACCTGCTGGGTGGAGCTGTGACAGAGGAGGCGGGCACATCCTACATCTGGTCACTCTACCAGGGGAGCCAGGCAAGATGGGCCCGGCAGGCTTCCAGCGCATGCCGGGAGCCCAGGCTTTGTCCTTGCTCCATTCACATTTGTAGTGGGACTCACCACCTGTCCCCTCTGTGTGCAGGAGCTGCAGGACCTGGACAGGAGGCTGGAGGACCAAGTGGCCCAGCAGGAGGCAGCCCAGCAGCAGCAGGCCCTGGCCAGCTGGCAGCACTGGGTGGCTGGGGGGCCTGGGCTCCTGAGCGAGCCTGGGGAGGAGGACTCTGAAAGGCCCGTCTCCGCCGTCCTGCAGCAGGCCCTGGGCAAGGGCCAGAAGTTACTGGATCTCCACCAGCAAAGGTAGGGCCCGTGGCCCACGGTCCCGGGAGTGACGTCCCCTGCAGGCCTGGGGAACCTGCCTCTCACCCTCCCGCCTACGGTGCCAGCCAGCACGTGGCACGAGCCACCCAGCTTGGCGGGAATCGGCTTCCTTGTTCCCTGATGTCCTTCTAAGATACCTTATTTTCCTATCACTGAGGTTTACCAATATTTTAGACTTTTTAAATAATCACAGACTTACAAGAAATTGCAAAAATAATAGAGAGAGGTCTTGTTCCTTTTCACCGGCTTCTCTGTCATCTTAGTGCAGGACCGAGCCGTGGGCCGACATCAGCAGAACTCAGGCCTCATTCGGACCTCACTGTAAACATGGCGCTTTATCAAGATTGCAGAGCCGAGCTCCCGTCTTCTTTCTCTGTTCTTTGTGTTATTCTTCAATTAACACTGGACAGTTAGCTTGGCCTGTGGCATCAGGAACTCTTAGAAAAACAAGGTTCATAGCTCTGGCGTTTTCCACTGTGAACCTGGCGTTGGTGTGGAGGGAACGTGAGGCCATCTGGACTGGGCAGTGTGACGGGTCCTGAAAACAGACACAAGTTAGTCGGAAGGAAACAGACTGGAGTCTGATGGGCTTGATTTCCGGGTGGTGAGATGCTGTGTAAACGGAGCACGGCTTGGGGCTCTGAGGTGACCGTGAAGGGCTGAGCTTGTGCCCAGGAGCTTCTCGGAGGCGTGGGTAGGTGGGCTGGGCGTTGGGGTGTGCAGCACTCACGCGCTCCCTGGAGGCTTTGAGCTGCACCTGAGGACGCAGTGGGTGTGGCCACCAGCAGGACTGTGGGCAGGCCACGTGGACAGCAGAGCTGCTCCCGTGGAGGACAGGAGGCTCCTGCGAAGGGAAGCCAGCTGGTCCTGTGGTCAGGGCCAGGCCCTCCCTGGACAGTGGCTCTGGTTCTGTTCAGCACAGGGCACATGGACCAGGTCTTGGTCTTCTTGGTGCAGGCCTTGTGGACCGCTGCCCAGCCTCTGTCAGAGTCAGTCGTCTCCTTCAGCGGCCCACGGAACCTCACTCGAGCCGCCCTCTCCTGGCCACCCTCCTTGGAAGAGGCCCAGGCAACACCATCTCTTTGTATATCTGTGTACGCGTGCATACGTGTGTGTGTGTGTGTGTGTGTGTGTGTGTGTACATATATATGTCCATATACTTCTTTTTCACACGGCGGTGTGGCTTTGATCCCTCTTCCTTATTTGGAGCCTGGATGGCCTCATGGTGTCCCTTCCTAACACAGTGGCCTCACTGGGCTCTGTTTTCCCTCTAGTTGGAGACAAGAGCAGCAGGACAGCGCTGTGCTGGAGGATCTGCTGGAGAACATGGAGACGGACACCTTCATGACCCTGTGCGGCCAGGTGAGGAGACACTGCCCCAGACTGCCTCTGTCCCTGCCTCTGTCCCCTGCACACACCTCTTCCCCTTCCTCAGAGCTGCCTGTCCTCAGCCATTGAATGGGCTGAGGAAGCTGGCCTGGGAAATTCAGAGCAGGTCATGAGTGGCCCCAGCACAGGTGGCAGGCAGGGGACACTCAGGCAGGTTCCATGTCCCCACATTCAGCCAACTGTGGATCCAAAATAAGTTGCATTGCTGTGGACAGGTGCTGTGCAGCTGGTCGGGCAGGGCTGTGTCTCTACCAAACACTGATGGCCTCTCCTGCCCACCATTCCCCAGCCAGTGCTGTGCCCGGTAGGTCACCATCATGTCCTGTGTCTTAGGTAGCACAAGTGATGATAGGAAGGTACGAGAGGCTGTGTGCAGGGTATCTGCAAATGTGATGCTGTTTTATTTCATTTTATTTTTAAATATTTATTTTTTAGTTGTAGGTGGACACATATCTTTATTTATTTTTATGTGGTGCTGAGGATCAAACCCAGTGCCTCATGCATGGTGGGCGACTGCTCTACCTTTGAGCCCCAGCCCCAGCCCTGATGCTGTTTTATATAAAAGGAAACGTCTGGATCCCCTGACCACCCCCCAGGAAAGCCGGGCTGAGCCCGAGGGGTACAAACACCAAATGGACTCCCCCGGGTCCTTCTGCCTCTGCAGGGCTCTCCTGCTTCCTAGTGCACATGAATGACCGCCTCCTAGAGGGACATGTGGCTGGCAGTCCTGGCTCCTAGCCCTTCGATGCCCTCCCCACCCCAGCCTTGCTGTCTGTCTTAGGCCTCACTGAAGTCCCAGGGGAGGTCTGACTGGCCAGGTGGTCAGGTGTGCCTGCCCTGACCAGAAGTGCTGTTACCTGTGCCTGTGTGATACAGGACAGTGGGACAAGCTCTAGCTCCATTTGTCCTCCCTGAACCCTGTGCCACAGTGTCATCCTAACCCGCATTTTACAGATGAGGAGGCGGAGGCAGAGAGATACGAGAACCGGCCCAAGGCCTCTCTGTTCTGCTCAGTGCCGCTGGGTGCCAGGGAGCTTTCTGGAGTACCAGATCTGTGCTGGTTTCTCCACAAAGATTTCGTTCTGAAATCCTGCGGATGCACAGGAGGTTGCGGAGCCAGTGTGGGGCATGCCAGCGTCCACCGGGCTTCGTGTTTCCCCCTGCTGTTGCCCAGAGCATGTCACAGTCAGGAGCTGACATCGGTGTCAGCACATGCACTGTTCTCTGTCACTTGAGCACAGCAGGTCCACCCCGTCAGGATGCAGGACTGTCCTCCCCACAGAGCCCTCCTCGTGCTGCCCCCCACTGCCCACCCTGGCAATCCAGGGTCTGCCCCAGCTCTGAGTTTTGTCCAGGCCGCAGACCTGTGTGCCTGGAGTCAAGCAGCCTTAGACTCTAGGCCCTTCCAGCTCTTTTACTTATTGCAGAACGGTGTTCTGTGGTAAGGACGCAACACAGTGTCCCTGGGACACTCTCTGTCCCCTGGTTTAGGGATACTTCAGTTGTTTCTGGAGCCTGAATGGTCCTCAGGGCCGTGTGGCCTCACAGAAGTGGAACAAGGAGGAGAAAGGTGAGCAGTGTTCCTGCTGCAGGCCAGGGCCTTTGCCATGTGATTCGGGCGGTGCCTGACAGAGCCGAGAACAGTCACGAGGGAGGGACGCAGCCTCAGGAATGCCGCGGTGCCACAGGTGCTCACCAAATAGGTTTTTCTGACAGCTCTGTGAATTTAGAAGCTGTTTTCCAGACTAACTACTAAAATATGTATTCCCCTTAGACAAAAAGCCCTAAGAATGCAATAAATTTAAAATTGACGCATGTCAGGTCTAGAGGTGGCGCAGGCTGAGCTCCCCTTCCCCTGCCTGCCCTAGGAGCTGAGGCTGGCGTCGTACCTCTGCAAGATGGCGATGGTGCCCGGGGCCACGCTGTGCCGCCTCCTGAGTGTGCTGCTGCCCGCGGGCTCCCAGCCCCAGCTGCTGGCCCTGCTGGATTCGGTCAGTGAGAAGCACTCGGACCGTGCAGCAGACCACGAGGGCAGGGAGCAGGCCGACCCTGGCAGGAGGAGGTGAGTGCCCTGTGGTGACCGCCTCTGGAAACCAGAGAGAGGGTGACCTGTAAGGGGACTGGAGCAGGGGATCAGACCTACCACCTGGAAAAAATGTCCATCAGGCTCACCGTCCGTTGGTCACATTTCTCCCTCCACAGGCTTTCTGAGTGCATGTGCGTGTGTTGAGTGTGGTTGAGGTGTGCATGTGCACACCTGTGTGCACACCTCCCGGCTCACCATGAGGTCGTGACTCTCGTCCCCATAAACCCATCCTTGGTGGAAAATGTGTGGGTGGGAAGCGTGTTTGACGCCCCTCGGGTGGAACACCCCACTGCAGCACAGCCTGGGACAGTGGCGATGGCCCTCGTGGCCCTGTGGTGACTGGGAGCTGCTGCTGCCCATCATCCAAGAGAGCCTGGGCCACAGAGGGGCCGCCTGGGGAAAGACCCCGACTCAAAGCTCCAAGTGCTGTTTCCACTGAACGCGTTGCTCCGGCCCCGCCCCAGGCGCGACTGTGGAGTGGAGCTGCCCTGCGGCCCACACCTGCGTATTGAGTGTCGCGCGCCCGCGGTGCTGACGCTGTGCCCACAGGCCTGAGAGCGGGGGCAGCTCTCCATGTTCCTGGGCGATTCCTGTCCCAGTGTCTGAGCTGCGTTTCCTGCTACTTTAAGTCGTGCTGTCACTGTTATGGACACATCTTCTCAGACATTGTTTTGAATGGCGGCCTAATACTCCAGACAGGCGTAGCCTAGGTAGGTGGCTGTCCCCATCTGTCACTGGGGCCACTTTTCCTCAGCTGTTACAACCCTGCAGATATTTTCCTTTAGGTTCCGAGTCCAGGTATGAATTGGGTCCATGGAGGGAAGGCAGGAAGCCGGGCAGTGTCACTTGAGAAGGGAAACGTGGACTAGGTTGGCAAGGGTAGGGCCCCAGCTGCCAGAGCCCGCCTCATCGAGGACCCACAGGAGGCTGTGGCTGGACGGCGGGGGCTGGCGGGCCGCTGGAATGGCGGTGGTGGGCACACATGTGGACACTGCTTTCCTGACATGGGGCTGTTTGGTCAGAGCTGAGGAGGGGTCTGACTCCGGAGGTCGCGAGCACTGCTGAGGACACGTGGGCAGAGCTGGGTGAGGGGAAGGGAGGGCGTGAGGCCAGCCGTGAGGATAAGCGGTCCAGCAAGTCCAGAGGGCCTGCGGGGCTGGGACAGCAGGAGGACTCGGGTGGTAAGTGCCTGCACTTTGTCCAGCCTCCTAGCCGAGGGGACTAGGGGATTCTCCCGGCCCGGGCCACCCAGAGTCCCTGAGGGCGGGCAGGCCCTCTTCCTGGTCCCCTGCCCGGGGCCTGGCAGCCCCTCCCTGAGGCCTTGGCTTTCAAGCCACGGAAGCTGACTGGCTGCACGGGAGCCGGTGACTGAGGGACCTGTGGGGTGTGGGGAGAGCTATGTCCAGCCCCGGAGGGACAGGCCCAGGAAGCACCGGGGGCAGCTGCTGTGGGGTGCTGTCGTCAGAGACACCTCTCCTGGGAAGGAGAGCCCCCTGTCCACTGTGGGGAGGGACGAGCTGTACCCACCTCCAGCTGGGCGGGTGGGAGCCATGGCGCAGAGGAAAGTGCTCCCTGGGCTGGACTCTCCGGCCTGTGCCGTCCTCTGCCGACTGGGGCCCAGGCCCACCGAGCTCTCCTCTCAGTCTCCCTGGCAGTGTGACAAGGTCCCTCGCCTTTGGTCTGGAGTCACACACGCCCATGGCCTGAGGACGCCCTGCCACCACCCTCCTGGCTCCCACGGTGCTTCTCCATGTTGCACGCGCATGTTCAGGACACGCTGATGGCTCCTGGTGTGTCCACTGTCTCAGGCAGGAGGACCAAGAGACGGAACCCCACCCGCCCCGCCATGCCTCCCCGGCCAAGGCGGGCCCCACAAGCCACACAGCCCTTCATGAACGCCCTGAGCTCAAATGTCCCCAGCTCTGTGTTGCCTTCTTCGACTGATGTCACCTGTCTCTGTGATCCCCCGAACTGGGAGCCCTTCGAGGGTAGAGATTCGTCCTTGACCAGGCCAAGAGCCTGCTTGATGGGTGTGTCCTGAGCAAGGGAAAGGAGGCGTGGAGACCAGGGGTCCTGGTATCAGCGGAGGTCACACGGGGGGGATGGAGGTCAGCGGAAGTCACACAGGGGGGACGGAGGCCAGCAGAGGTCACACAGGGGGAATTGAAGGCTGTTATTTTTAACTCGAGCCTCTCTCTGCTGTTAGGAAACACCAGGCCTGGTGGCAAGCCCTGGAGAGGAAGCTGCGAGGTGGTCTGATGGCCAGGGGCCTGGAGAAGGTGCGCTGGGCCCAACAGAGGAAGGCGAGGTAGGCGCCGGCACAGGTGCGGGGAGGGCCGTCCACGCTGCCTGAGAGCGTGGGGAGATGCCCCGTGACGGGGCAGGGTCCTCCCTGAAGGCCACACATCTTTAGTCCCTGGGCTTAGTTTAGAAGCTGAAGATAAGCTGCAGCTATCAGGAGGAGAATGTTATAACATTATTAGCATTTTAATTACTGTATTTACTTTAGTTAATAGCTATTTTAAGGGCTATAATTAGAAAAGGAATAATTCCTTGTAGCTGTTCAGACATTATTATTCCCAAAGCCCTTTCACTTCTCATTGCATTGAACCTTCCAGAAAATGAGGATGATAGACCTGAAGTCCAGAGACCCCAAGACCCAGTACCTGGTGGCCATGGGACGTGGACCGTAACTGTCCCTGCGTTTGCCTAACGCTCCAGGCCTGTGCGTGCTCTGTGTGCCCAAGGCCTGCATCTCTGGCCTGTGACTTTTGCACACCTGGAGATCAGAGGGACGGGAGGGGCACAGTGGGTTAGATGTGACCACCTGTTGACCAAGAGTCTCCTGGATTCCATCTACGAGGGATTTAGGGAAGTCACATCAGGCGAGCTCATCAGGGCTTAAAAAGTGGCAGGCGCCCTGTGCTCGGGGAGCAGTGACTGTCCAGGGGGAGGGTCTGCCGAGCCCCCTGCCTCCATCGTTCCAGAGCTCAGGTGGAGGTGCTGAGCCCGTCACTGATGGTCCATGGTAACAGCTTGGGGCTGTCTGTGATGGGGGTCTCAGAAAGTCGTCCCAAAGAACTTAGGCCAGGAGGTTGGTCGGGAGAAGCCACTCTAAGTCCAGATTGAAGCTGTGTGACTAGCGTGTTCCCCTGGGAGTGCTTCTGGGCTGCACTGACCGGTGTGCAGCAGGTAACATGAGGGGCGATGGTCACAGCACCTGGCGCACTGTGGTAGCCTTCGCCCCGCCCAGAGGCACCAGGATCTACGGTGAGAAGGGATGTAGGAATATGAGCCAGAGCCACCTGGGAGTCCTCGCTCAGGGGACAGAGGTGGAACTGAATCTGTCCCAACCCTTCAGATGGTCCAGCACCCCACTGGCCAGTGACGTCCCCTGCAGACCCAGGTTGTGGCCTTGTCCTGCACTGCTTGGGCAGAGAGCACCAGTGGTTCTCAGGCCCCACGGGCTCTCAGCAGAAGCCACGGCATTCTCAAGAGCAGCCGGGGATTCAGGGCAGATTGCTGCAGTCCTGTCCCAGGACCCTCCCTAAGTGTGCTACCCTCTGCTGACGTCTGCCCGGCCTGGAACTTTTGCTTAGTACCCAGTTTCCTCAGCTGGTTTACAGTGAGGCCCAGGGTCTCCTTGTAAATGTCTGAGAGTCGGCCGGGGGTGGGGTGGGGGTGGGGGTGGGGTGGGGTGGAGCCTTCCTGGGGCCCTGCCAATCTCCATGGTGTGAACTCCCCGCCCGGCTGAGCCCAAGCTGACAATGTCATGACAACGAGCCCACAAGTCTTCTGAGAACTTGAGTCACAGGCCAGTACGGCTGGAGTGCTGCCACAGGCCTCCACTGACTTCAGGGGCACTCTGGTGCCCAAAGGTGGGAAGGGTCTTCAAATGGCACGTGGCTGGGATTCTCCTGGAGAACTCAGAACTCTCAGGAAGGTCAGAGTGAGTCCCACATATCAACTCAACCTTCTGTTCTCTCCTTAGCATATTAAAGAAGACGTATGTCCCCATCAGGGAGAGGATGGCATTCTGCGGAGAAGGCTGGCCGCACCTGTCCTTGGAGACCATTGGCGAACCGGCCCCTGTCCCCATCCTAGGTGCTGAAGCCCTCGACGTGTTAAACACAGGCGAAAAGCTCTTCATATTCAGAAACCCCAAGGACCCGGACATCTCTCTGCACATCCCTCCCAGGAGGAAGAAGAACTTCCTGAACGCCAAGAAGGCCAGCAGGGCCCTGGGCTTGGACTAGGGGAGGCCCATGTGTGCTGCTGTCTAATGCTTAGCGTGCAGCGTATCCGTTCCCACGCGGAAGACACGGGTCCCCTGCACACCCTGGCCTCAGTGACGATTCAGCGTGGTCTCATGGGTTTCCATTTGGCCTGCTCTCTTCCGCACCATGAGGATGTGGACACTCCTTTCTTTTGGTCCCGAGTCACCAGGGACCTGGAGGACACTCTGCCCCAGCTCGCACCTCTGTGCCCGGCTGTGTGAGGACGGGCCTCGCTGTTCTCCTGTTTTGTGTTTGCTACATATTCTGGTTTTATAAAGGGAACTTTTGAAAATAAATATATTTTACACAGAGCTCTCCACTTGCCTTACGTGGGGCCCTTGTTCCTGATTCTGTTCCTGATTCCCCATCGTGATGTCCAGCAGAGGGCTTTGCCCTGTCCCTTGAGCTGCCAGAAAACACGCCGGCCCCTGGGGAATGCCATCGCCTGTTCACATCTCAGTGGTCTTTCCAGTTGTACAAGGTGAAGAGATTCAGAAACCAGAGGGAAGTGATTTTTAAATCTTGAAGCAGAATCAGCTAATAAGCTGCTCAACGTGCTCTTCGGACCCAAACCCAGCCCTTCCCCTGTGCCTCGGTCAGGGGACACCCGCAGGGCTCCCTGCATCAGGTCTTAGGAGGACATGGTGCCTTGGTGTGTCCTCTCACAGCCATGGCCCTGGCCAGTGACGTCTGCTCAGGGCTGGCCAGGTCACTATAGGAGGAGTACAACTCAAAGGGTCTTTGCTGAGGGTGGAGGTGACCAGGCAGGATCCTGTCACCAGCGAGGGGAGGAAAGGGATCACGGACGACATGTCTCTTTCTTGACAGCTGCTGCCAGAACCTTCCAGCTTCAGTCACCACTAATACCCAGCAAGGCGGGTAGCGCCATTCCCGTCTCACAGCCAGGAAGCCGAGACTCCGGGAGCACGGGTGACTTGCCCTCAGTCACTCTGCCCCGGTGGAACCTGGGCCTCCTGACTTTGGAGCCCTCGTCTGCCACGGACGCCCCCTTTCTACTGACATCCTGGAGGCAGCTCCCCATCCGCACGCGGCAGCCCCTTTCTTTGTCTCCTGTCCAAGACCTCCAGCTGCCTGCTGCCTGCCCGCCCTCCACGAGTGGCCCCCAGGACCTTCCCAGCTGTGGGGTGGGAAGCTCCTCCTCCAGGGGCCACTACGGAGCCATGGAACATCCGTGGACCCAGATTCCCCACCTGCTTGCCAGAGTCAGTGGGTGGACCCTGCACTGGGCCCGGCACGGGGAGCGTGGCACAGCCGCTGGCATTGCTTGGTCTTGGAAGGGTTTCAAACAGGAGAGCACAATGGAATTTGCACTTTGGGAAGGTCACTCGGGAGACGCTGAGGAGGGTGGGTGGACCGGAGGTGGAAACCGTGAGCTGGACCTCTAGTCGATTTCTGTCCTCGGGTGGGTGGGCAGCTGCAGGGGAGGGGAGCAGGTGGGCTCCATGCTGCTCGGGTGACCCGTGTTCTGACCCTCAGGCACCCTCTGGAGGTGTGACTGGATGGGGCTCAAGCTGCAAAATGCCTGGCCCATGGCCACCTGTGGGCAGCAGCCACCATTTCTGCCCAGCCCAATGGCATTTGCCCTCTGCCCACTTCACAGCACCATGTCCAGGGAACGGCCCTGTGGGGACTCCTGACCCCCAGAGATGGACACCCACTGCTCCTCGGCTTCCTCACGGGGTGTGAGGCCGTGGTCATCATCCTCTGGGGACGAGTGGCTTCCACCCGGCCTGCCATGCTGCTCTCCGCCCCTCCACTTCGTCTGGCCCCTGCCTCCTCCCTTCCTGCTTCCTCTCACATCGGTTCAGGTCTTCATGATTGAATCCGTTATTGGCACATTTTCTCTACCCCCTTTCTTTGGCGTCTGCCTTAGTATTCAGTGCGGATCTTTAACTCACTCCCTACCATCAGGGGCATTGAACCCCTTCAGACAGCGTGGGAACAGTTTTGTCCATTTCCCCATCTGCTCTTGCTGTAGTTTGGGTCTTAAGTGTCCCTAAATGACCTTGTACTAAAGTCTTGTTCCCAGCTTCGTGCCATTGGGAGGCAGGGTGTTAAAGAGGTGGGGCCCTTAAGAGGCGGGGCCTAGGGGAAGTCAGTCGTGGGTATGCTCTTGAAGCTGATTGTGGACCTGGTCCCTTCCTTTCTACTCTTAATTCTGGCCACATAGTGGTTTTGCTCTACCACAGCTCCCACCATAAGGTGCTTCCTCCCCATAGGCCTAAAAGCAACAGGGCCAGCTGATCAGGGACTGGAACCTCCACCAGCGTGAGTTGAATAAGCCCTCATGCTTTATAAGTGGGCTCTCTCAGGTATGTTGTTACAGCAGCAGAAAGCTGATGTGATTCTTTTTGCCGTTTCTGCTATAACTCCCACATATTCTGGTGTTGTTTTACTTTCAGTATTCAGTTATCTTTTAAAAATATTTTTTTAGTTGTAGATGGACATGATACCTTTATTTTGTTTGTTTATATGGGGTGCTGAGGATCCAACCCAGGGCCTCACACGTGCTGGGCAAGTGCTCTGCCACTGAGCCACAACCCCAGCCTCCTTCAGTTATCTTTTAAAGAGGTTAAAAATGGGATAAAATCTTTGGTTTATGAAATATTTGGAATATATGAAGTCCTTCTTTAGTGCAGAGTCATATTTCCACCCGTTTATATTTAGTCTCTGTCTCCAGTTCCTGTTGCTGGAGATCTTCGCATTTCCTGGGTGTCTCTTGGTAGGAGTGTCTTCTGTTTCCAAAATGGGCTCCTTTCAGTCACACCTGATTAATTGATGTAGGGTGGGGCCCTAGATAGCTTCTGGGTGGGGCTGTTGCCAGAAAGACCAAGTGATTAGGAGGCTGGGCCTTCACCTCCTGAGGCCCCTGGACACAGCACCAGGCAGTGGGGCCCCCTGGAGATGGAGTTTGACAGAGACTTGGAACAAGGAGCTTCAGGGAGCTATGGGGCTGCTGGAGGCGGTGGCCCCTGAGAGGCTTTGGAAGCTCTGCATGTCCCCGCCCCACCCCGTGCCCCTGCCCTCGTCCATCTGGCCGTTCCGAGTTTTATCCTTTGGAATCAGCCATTGCGTGAGGATGGTCTTCCTCGGTGCTGCGAGCTGTCCAGCTGGTCAGTCAGAAGGGTGGAGGGTGCAGGGCCTGCAGCAGGCTGGGATGGCTCCCCCTGGGTCTGAGCCACGCCGCTGTCGCAACCCACCGTGTGAGGCAGCTTTCTGTCACTGACCGAGACACTGGCAAGGTCAACTTAGCGGAGGAAAAGTTTGCTTGGGCTCATGGTCTCAGTCCACGGTCAGCTGCCTCCACTGCTCTGGGCCTGAGGTGAGGCACATTCTCCCCATCACCGCAGCTGGGAAGCAGAAGGAGGGAGGGGGAGAGAGAGGGACGTCGGGGACAAACTACAGTCAGAGGGCACACCCCAAGTGACCTGATTCCTGCAGCCACAGCTCACCTTTCTACAGCTATCACCCAGTTGTCCTTTCAAATGAGTCATCCATCCAACGGATCAGTCCCCCGATGAGCTTACAGCCCTCATCATCTCATCATCTATTAACACAGGGGCTTTTGGAGAACGTTCAAGGTCAAACCGTGTCCCATCAGGCAGCTGGCCTGTGTTTGGGGGGTCCCTCCCTGGTCTGCAGGCACCCAGCTGTGTGCAGGAAGGGCAGCCCAGGGCACTCTCTCTCCTTCCCTTCCTGCAGATGCCCCACCCAGTGGACCTCTGTCCTTGTCTGGGAAGAGGGAGCTGCTCTGGGACGCGGTTAGCTCCCAGCTGTTTCCAGAGGGAGGCTGAATTCAGCCTCCGTGTCTCGGGGCCATTTTGAAGCAAATCAAGTCATCCTATAATTTCATGCATAAACGTTTCAGTGTGCATCTCCAGAGGGTATGGAGTCCTTTTTAGCATTTAGCACAGAATGAACCAATTACTAACCCTAAGGCAAATAAAAAGTTTCACCATGAAGGAAATTTAATTCAAATACCCTTAATGGCTCAGGTTTAAATAAAACTTTATTAGTTACAATATTGCAAATACCAAGTATTTACTTAAAATCGGGCTTTAATAGCATCATTAGATAGTGAGAGAAGGGAAGGGAAGGTAGGGGCGTGTCTGTTTATGTGTGTGTGTGTGTGTGTGCATCCTTGTGTGTAAGAGCTAACTCCTCGTCTCCCCGCAGTAGAAGGTCTAGGTGTATGGATAATACATGGGTAGTAAATATCGAGCAGTTACAGTGTGTTCCTTAGAAATACAAATGGTAATACCATAAGAAACAGCTAAACAATTAAAAGTACATTTATTCCTTGGGATCAACAGGAAAATGTGTCCAGCACCCAGCAGACACTCAAATCCACACTTCGATGACTCTGCACACTTAGTACAATGAGCTGGGTAAATCCTTGCTACACTGTATGGTTTAGGGAACAAAGAGAAGGAAAAAAAGTCTGAACATGCTTAATAAAGACCCTGTTTTTAGAATGTTTTAAGTCCACAGTTGGTTGGATTAGAGGATGGGGAGCCAAGGACTTCAGGGGCCGGCTGTAGGTGCTTCTTGGGAGAAGTCAGGGCTCGGAACAGCTGCGGGCTCCATCCTCAGTGCCTTCAACTGTCACCTAACACTTGGCCCGTGCACTGCCTTTGTTCAGAACCTCGAGGGCCTTGGCTTCTGAGTCAGAGCTCCAGTTCCTTGGCTCTGTCACCTCCTGGGTGTTGACCCAGGCCCGCGACTGAACCCCCCACAGCTTCAGCGTTTCCTTTTGCCAGTTGAAGACGGTGTCAGTGACCCTTCAAGGAAAGACAGACCAAGTGTCCCCTGTTGGGGGCAGCGTATGAAAAATCCAAGTGCCTTAAATGACCATGAAGAGAGGCCGTGAGGCTGTGGGAGCTGGGCCGGGGCTGGAGGCTGGGGTAGCCCCTTGGCCTCGCTGGGGCCTGCACAAACCCCCACCTCTTTACTCCGGGCATTCACTGAGCGAGGATCTGGGGTCCACTCCTTGCAGGATTGCGTTGAGGATGCACAGAAAGCACCCACCTGGCACTCTGGATGCGGGAAGCACTTGGTCAGCCATGGCTGGTGGTGGGTTGCGCTGTTGATGGAGTGGTCCTGACGGTGGGATAACACAGCTCAAAATAAATCCCATGTTAAATTTCTGTTGCTTCCAGGTTTTTAGATATGTTAACGAATAGTTAATGTCATGAGGAGAAGGCTTCTGAAAACGCTGGTGCATAAAAAAGAATGGGGATTAGATGAGGAGGCAGGAGGGAGAGGGGGAGGGGAGGAGGGAGGGGAGGAT